CAAACTCAGTTGCATTTGTTGGACCTCTGCCAATTTCCAAGGATATTTTAATCTGTTGATCTCAAATAACGTTTTTGTCAATCTATAAGGGTCTTTTGTTTTGTCGATTCTCTAAGGATCTATCTCTATTGATTTCCAAGGTCCTATCTGTCTCCGAGGATATAATTCTCCGTTGGTTTTCAAAATATCTCAGGATCTTTTTCCTTGTTGATCTCCAAGGATCTGTCTTTCTCAAAGGATCTGTCTCTGTCAATCTCCAGCAGTTTGTCTCTCTGTCTACCTTTAAGGATGTGACGATCCTTTTGGTCTTGAATACAGCGATGCTACACCTTACTGTTGCTATGGTAAGGAGTAGACATCTTTACTTATACATGTTAATTATTCATACAAATGGGAAGCAAAATAGATTTCCTTTACCCTCTGTAATGATGAGAGTTATGTAGATCAATGATATACAATCAATTTTCACATCTCAATAACTACACTCACATAGCCAAGTCGATCACTAATGGTAAGGAATGGTATTTTTATTGTTAAATTCAAATCAAAATGAACAACTGGGTCAAACTGACATGATATCAATTGTTCAAACAATTACAGCAGAGAGCTTCTGTCAATGAACTAATCGTTATTGATGTTTTTAAATGTGCGAAATTCTTGTTTTGTTGAAAATAACATACTGAAGTGTCCAGACTACATGTATACTTTAGTTTTACTGATGAGTTCAAGTTATGAAGGACTCCTAATGTACTCATATAGACTATAGATAAACTAAATGTCAAAGTCCTGATTTTGTTGGCTGGAAGGCTTATACCTTCTGAGTAAGTTTCAGAACATAATTATGCAATGCGGTTTCCATAAATTGTATAAAATTGTGCAGTAGCTTTCTCATAAAGTTTGAAAATTGTCAGGCAGTGTAGGAAAGTGTAACAGGTCATTTCGTGCTATAAATGTGAATTATAAAGCCTCTAATGTTGGTAGCATCATTAAATGACCTGAGAACCCTATCACAGATATACCACTCGACTGTACTATAACTTTACGATGTTCAGAATATACAGTACCGTATGGTGACCAGGAATATTTTTGAAATCCCAGTAGGATTCTAATGGGATATTTTCATTTTAGCTTTTGACCAGTTGTATCTAGACTGTAAAAAATAGAGATGGACATTCTAATTTATTTTGATTTCTGGTAGGCCTTGATGAAATATTTTGAGGCTTGTATTAACATCTGCAAGTCTTTCTCGATTATGTCTGTGTAAACAAAAGCCATTGGGGGTAGGCTTGTCTCATTCTTTGCAGTGATGCGTGATACCCACTCTAATATGTATAGATACTGTCTGTATATATTTATAGTGTGTGAAGCATGCCTAGGCCAGAGTAAGACAAGTGACTGTAGGTCAGTGTCTCTAGATATCAGAGGTCCTAAGTTGAAATCTTGGTCTGAACCTGTTGAGTTACATGATAATACAGTCTAGTAGTGTCTGTTCCATATGATGGTTTAAAACCTGGTGTGGTATATGGAATTCTTTTCAACATACTGTGAGGTTGAGAGAAATAGATGATTAATAGTAATTTATATTTAATCATTAATGTTATCACTGATTTGTTTATTTCAATGCATGCAATCAACATCAAATTCACAGTACCACCTGCAGTCTTAATTACCGGTATGTTAATTACTGTTTTTGTATGCCCTTGGTTATTAGCTGGTGGGGAATGATATACCTGTCCAGGTGTATTGATCAGGTGAGATGGACATATCGTGTTTAATTTCCCTCAGCAGTTATTGGCTGTTTGTTTAGGCAAATATTAATTGGCCAAAGTGATCAATATGTACCTAATAGAAAAGTAAGATATTGTATTGTCCATTGTCAAACCTTCCATAGCTTATTGTTGAAAACCACAGAACTAGAAAACGTATTGGAATGGCATTCCAGAACATCTATTTTATGGGAACAAAACCCATTTCTCCAAACACATGTAATGAATAAAAGATGAAAGTGTTTCATTTGTTGGAAACTTTTCTAAAAGACAATTTGCTGTTGGGATGTTGTTTTGTTTGAATTCTATTGTGACACATTTTTGAGATAAAATATATTTTATAATGTGACTCAATATGTGTATCAATATTTTGATATTAGGATCCAGGTATTCTGGCAGCTGTATATGACAGATGTTTTCACTGTAGCAGCGTTCTAGGTTTGAGAAGGTGATTAGCTAAGGTTAAATCAATGTTTGTTAATATTTGTGCTGAGTATGTTAAGAGTTAGTTTATCAGATAATGTAGTCAGTTGTTTAAATAGACACAGCTCTGTAAATCAACCCCAGGGTGTCACCTAGACTTACCCTACCAGGACGTAGTAAGTCACTACAAGATAACACAGAGCGCAGATACAACCTGAGAACACTCTAACTACTAAGGAAACACATCACATAATGCAATGGAAGTCCGCGATATAGTCACTGCTTAGAACACTTACAGAATGCACAAGATGATAACTCCTCTTAAACATTGAACATAGAACAATAGGATAAAGTCACATGGCATAGGACAAGTAATGAAACTTTTAACATGAAAAACTTCCTAACCATGCTATAAAGCCCCTCCAAGAACACTTAATGGAACACTTTTCAACTTCTTACAAAATGCTGCTCGAAATTCATCATGGTACTAGATTCTGTTCATGGAAGAATATATGGATCCAGTTCTGTGATTTTTGGGACTCAAATATTTGAGTCTTGGACTCCTGCCTTTCCTGTTGGAACTCAAATTTTGAAAACCTACTGTATCTCTTTGTTACCGTATTCTTTGGAATTGGTGCTCACCAGAAAAAAACTTTGCAAAAATTATTGCAGTTATATAGTTACCAGGGTAGGCTCCGTGAAACCCATTCTTTTAAGTATTACATTGTTTGTCCTATATTTAGATTCATCTTACATGAACTTATCAGTGTAATATTACTGAGGATACTTAACACTTTTATTGTATATCCAGCCTCAAAGAATCCAGTATGTAGTAATTACATGGTCTTAAATTTAATATGAGGATTTGTCAACCTTCAAAGGATGTTATTCCCTGCAGCCTGCAAACTTTGGGGATATTAGTGACCTTTCTCAGGTCAACAAATCCTCGCATTAACCTAAATAAAGGCAATAATTGTGTTATATCACCCATCAAGACGTATTATGGAAGACTTTGTGGAACCTTTCCTTGAACTCCTGATGTTCCTCAATTGAACCCCATGGAATTCTACTCGGAACCCAAGAAGGATTATATTATTGATGAATTTGCAGAACCCTTTTTTGAACCCCTGATATTCCTTAACTAAACCCCTTAGAATACTACATGGAACCCCATAATCTCCCAATGACATTAATTACTTTGATGTTTGAGTTCACTGGATTCGGTCAGTCACTACAATTTGAAGATTCTGATCACTGTTTCCTTATTTAACTCTGAAATGAAAATATGATAGACTGTGGTCAAACATCATGGAACTGTAATTGAAAGTCTTTGGTTGGCGTGTTTGTAATTATCCACCAAGACCTTCAACATAATCACGTTTTTTGTGTATGATTAATGGAACGTCCCAGCAGTTTACAGAAACATTTAATGTATAGGGATAGATAAGGTGGCTTTAAAAAGTCTGATGACGTGAATAGATTCATATATCTATTGATTTGTGGTGGAAATCCTAAATTTATTTGATACAAGATACAAATTGACATCTGATCCATGTTTACATGTTGAACCTTGAGATAACTGCTTAAATCTAAGGGAAAAATTCATTTATACAAAACGGTCTGGTGCAAGTTTTTACTGGCTGTATGTCACTTGATGTGTCTTATAGAAAACAGAGCACAAACTGGATATTCCTGTGAGAATATATTTAGTGTTGGAGAACACCACTGGAGACGTACATAGTAAATATTTTTAAAACACTACTTGATATCATAGAACTATGATAAATCATGATAGGTGATCAGGGCTAGTATTTGTGAACTTCAGACACAGACGCACGACAACAGAGGTCTGGGGGTAAGGTAAATCCTGTCTAGGGCAGTGTTGAACTCTAAACCAAAAAGACTTTGAATAAACCATTGAAAACCATAGAGCTACACTCAAACTTACTAAGAGATCAATGGGGATATTCCTCTGAAACCATAGATGCTATAAACAAACTACAGAAAACCATAGAGCTGTAGTTAAACTTTCTTAGTGATATTCTTTAAACCATAGAGGTTAGAAACACTTCCATGTTGACCATAGATAGCTGCTCTGTGTGTGATTAATGTGTGTATCAATTCTGTAAGATGTATGTCAGGACAAAATATCCATACAGGTTTCTTGCTCGAGAACATGGACCTAGAAATGATATGAATTATTCATAATGATAAAAACTGATTTCACTAAGGTGTCATATTGATCTCAGTATACTTTATAAAGAAAGATGTATGGAAATATCAAAGGTAAATGTTGTCAGTGTAATTAATTACCTCTATTTATGTCAACCAATGCTATAGGAATATCAAGGAACTTTGGATGGAATGCTTGATTCAGTATTGTATAAAATACAAAAGTTTCAAGATCACAGGTCAGTGATCATGTGCCTTAGCCCAACCTTTATCTGTAATGTTTTATCTGTTTGAACTTGAAAATAAAATCTTGGTTTATATTTTTCAATTAATCATGTTTTGCAATATTTTTGAAAAATTAATTTGAAAACTTTGTGGTTTTTAGAAATATTTTAGAACACTAAAATGTTTGAATGTTTAGGCTGAGAATTTGTCATCATTGACTTTAATATTTCATCTCAAATTCTTTAATTAAAACAGCTAATACATATGTCTAGTTAACATAGAATCATGAAGAGTACAGATGGTTTGTTTTTATCTGTTTGCAACATTGACCTTGCCATTTAATTAAAAAGTAATTAAGTCTACAATAACCTTGACCTGTAGTGATTATTTAATGACTTTGACCATTCTTTACAGTTTTGGGGACAAAGACAATAACACACGTCTTGAAGAGCTGATGAAGCTGCATCACCTTCAGAAACTGATGAAGGAGTTCAGTTACTTTAAACCTCCAGACATCATTCTACAGGAGGCCACAAGTTACTTTCCTGCTAAAGTCCAGAAACGTGTGCCAGGTGCCATGAATATGGTAGAGTTTAAGGAAGCATTTAGCCGTGTTCTGGAGACCCATGAGTATGATGAGTACCTGGAGAAACTCTTCCAGAAGGTAAATTTGTATAAGCTAATATGATATATTGCTTATATGATCAAATAAGAATATCATGATTTGAGATGTGAGTACATAGGCTCTCTGTTTATGTGTCTTATCTGGTACCTGCGACCTTTGACCATCTGAGCTTCCATAATTGATAGAGTTGTAGGATATGATACATGTATATCATATGTGACTTCTTTGATATGTTACATAACTATATCATTTTGTGTTATTTCTGACCTTTGACATATTGTGTTGCCTCTGATCTCAGACCTGTGTTAATTTTGACCTTTGGATGTGTTGTGTAGTGTTGCTCTGACCTCTAACTTGTTGTATGATATGTTACCTTTAAATCAAACCAGTAGTTAAAGTGTTGCTTCTGATATGTTATTTGTTGTGTTTACTCTGACCTCTGACCTAATGTGTTTTGTGTTACCTGTCACCTGTTGTATGTTGTGTTAATTCTGACCTCTGACCTGATGTGTTTTGTGTTACCTCTTACCTGTTGTATGTTGTGTTAACTCTAACCTCTGACCTGTTGTGTTTTGTGTTACCTCCTATCTGTTGTATGTTGTGTAAACTCTGACCTCTGACCTGATTTGTTACAGCTGGACACTACTTGTGATGGCTATGTAGATTGGAGTGAATTCTGTACCTACATGCTACTTCTGTATAGAGAGAATGACTATATGAGGACCAAGAGAGAAATTCCTTTCCTGGTGGAACCCAAGATCAGACATATTGTGCAAAACAAGGTTAGACATCTGTGATACCTTGTTTAATTATTGATGGGTATTTACTGCTTCACAGAAAAAATCTGGTGGGGACCTTTACTGTAAATCAATATCAAAATAAAAAAAGGTGAAATTGAGGATATTGGATAACACAGTGTAAGCCTTAATTAATAGAAGCTTTGTCGTTATTTGAAAAGATCTCTGAGTGATATGGTATCTACAGTAATTTTTATTCAAGAAATGGTTTAATACTATTATTTGCTCAAGTAACTAAATGATTAACTTGTTTTCAGCAAGAGCAGTCGACAAAGGTTCTAGCATCAGAGAATCCCAGTCGATATGTCACAGTAAGCAAGGTAAGGGCCTGATTCAGACCAACTCTGTACATCATTATCTGTGTGATGTCAAAGTCACTTCAAGTGCTACAGACATATGTTGTAGGGCACTGGATACTCTGTGTAATGTCATCATAGTCTTACTTAGTTACCAATTTTCTCGGTATTCTTAGTGTCGACTTTGTTAATTCTTGAAAATTTAAAGACAGAAACTAAAGTATTAATTTCTAACTTATGCTTTTATAGGAAGGAGCCATCACAGTGTGGCAAACCAACATGGTGATGGAGAAGACTTACACGATATCTGATGATGAAACAGAACTTAATGCTCCAAAACGTCGCTTTAAGATGTGGGTGACTGATGCCATTTACCTTCCCAACTGTAACAAGCTAGCCCTGGCCTCCACCAGTAGAGATATACGTATATTTGACTGTTCCACCAACCAGTGGTTTGAGGAGTACAACCTCTTTGGTAAGACTTGACAGTCATTTTGTGTCCCAGTGGTTTGAGGAGTACAACCTCTTTGGTAAGACTTGATAGTTACACTCCATCTCAGTGGTTTGAGGAATACAACCTCTTTGGTAAGACTTGATAGTTACACTCAATCTCAGTGGTTTGAGGAGTACAACCTCTTTGGTAAGACTTGATAGTTACACTCCATCTCAGTGGTTTGAGGAGTACAACCTCTTTGGTAAGACTTGATAGTTACACTCCATCTCAGTGGTTTGAGGAGTACAACCTCTTTGGTAAGACTTGATAGTTACACTCCATCTCAGTGGTTTGAGGAGTACAACCTCTTTGGTAAGACTTGATAGTTACACTCCATCTCAGTGGTTTGAGGAGTACAACCTCTTTGATAAGACTTGATAGTTACACTCCATCTCAGTGGTTTGAGGAGTACAACCTCTTTAGTAAGACTTGATAGTTACACTCCATCTCAGTGGTTTGAGGAGTACAACCTCTTGGGTAAGACTTGATAGTTACACTCCATCTCATTGGTTTGAGGTGTACAACCTCTTTAGTAAGACTTGACAGTCATTCTGTGTCCCAGTGGTTTGAAGAGTACAACCTTTTTTTTGGTAAGACTTGATAGTCTCTATGTGTCTCAGTGGTTTGAGGTGCACAGCCTTTTTGGAAAGACTTAGTGGTGCCTATCAGATTCTAATTATTGCCTTTTACACTGGTTCCAGAGTAGGAATAGTGTATCAAGCCTGAGATTAGATGTATTTTTTTGAGATAATTATGGTATAAAAGATCTATTGGAATTATGTCTTAGATTTTGTTACTGAGATTTCTACAGAATTTGTATGGTAATCCTCCAACAATTACACTATAGAATCACAGAGTCTGCATAAGTCAGGACTTGGTTAAATGCAAAACAAGTAAATAACATTCTCTGATGATTTGTTAATAGCAATGGATTATGTTGGTGTGCCTATCACTAGACATTGACTTATTGTGGGTTAAAAACATTAATTTCAATTTGACAAATTTGTAAATTTTATCAACAGGATTTGTGAATGAGACAAGGATGGTTTGTAATTAAGATAAATAAAGTTCATAATTACGATAAACATGATTCGTAATTAGAATTGATATAGTTTGTCATAATTGATATAAATGCTGATTGTGACTAAAATGAACAGTTTGTTATGAGGTAAAATAGGTTTTTTAATCCAACATATCAATTGTCTTAATGATGTATGGGATGTTCTGGTGATACCTTGAGAGGAGGATTATTCTGAAGAATATGTATATTTTTTTCTTATAATTTTAGCCATGTCAGATGTCCCATACTGTTTTGATTACTGGTATGACAAAAAAGTAAGTATAGTGCTTAGTGGTGCATTGTCAATTATAACTTGTCCACAAGTTAGCAATCTGAAAATGATTTCTCAACAGATATGAGGGAAAAAAAACAAAAAAACAAAAATGAATTGTAAAGCCCTGCTATATCTACTATAAGACAACTTTGTGAAATAATGACTATAAAAATCATGGAACATAAAAATACTGATTTATTTTCTTGTGAAATATAACATGTGAACTAATGACTGCCTATTGTATATCACCTCCAGAACCCCGCAGCAATGTCTGTGCTTATATTTGGTGTTGATGCTGGTGCTGTTCATGTGTTGTACTTCAAGAAACCTCTTACTCAACTGTTTGAGACAGCTTTTAAAAGTGAAGATGGAGCCCAAAAAATATTTTGGAGTGTAAGTATGTTTACCAGTATATATTGATTTGAAAAGATGTTTGATTATCCTTTGTCACAGAGTAAAAGTCTGAAGGTTATAAAGAATTACAATGATCATCTTTAACTGAACTTTTTAATTATTTCTAAATGAGAGAAAGAATGAGTGAAGGGAAAACTTTATGAAGATTGATTTATCTAATGCATCTGTTATATTCATTTGCAGGAAGTGGAAAAAGGAGGGCACTCTCGTTATGTAGGACATGAAAAAATTTTACATGATAAAGTTCAACAAATTCCACCTCATCTTATCCGACAAGTGCAATATATCCATAGCAAAAACTCTATCATTTCATCTACAAGCTCACCAAACCGATCCATTGTCATCTCCGACATCAACAAACTTAAGAAACAATATGTGTTCAACATCGAAAAGGTAGGAAATAATCACTATTGTTAACAACAGAGAATAAATCTAAAAGAATATTACACTGTACAAAGGAACATACAAGATATGTATTAGTATTTGTCAACTTTCTCAAAGTTCTCATAATCATTACATGCAGAATAGTTATTTGCAAACCATATAACAACTGAAGTGTTTGATTGATTTACAGGGTATAGAATGTTTTGATTATAATCAGAATTTAAACATTCTTGTGACTGGAAGTCTTGATCACATTATACGGTTATGGAACGCCTATGTAGCTAGCCGACCAATCGCGATGTTGGAAGGTCATTCCACAGGGGTCATTGGGGTGAAGATTCATGAAGGCCTCATGCAAGTGTTCAGCTATTCAAAAGATGCTGTAAGTACTAAATAGTGATAGAAAATTATAGTCAGGTGTAGAGGTATTTTAAGAATAAACAAAGAAATTCAGTTTTGATAGGAAGAAGTCTGTGTTAATTGAAGAAAATATTAGTGTTGCAAATCTGGAAATATACCTGTCCAAGAAAGCATAAGAAAACATGTACCTGTTGCCTGTATTACATATAAGTACCAATATGACTTTTTGTATCTGCAGGTGGTGAAGGTGTGGGACATTCGTGAACACACCTGTCTACAGACAGTGGTGCTTAAGTTCCCGAGTAGCATTCATGGGCGTATGCCGGAGCACGGACAGTTCCCCATGCACCTGCAGCCGTCGCCCCAGGATGCTCTTATTGTGACTTGTAATGATTACCTAGGAATGCTGAAGCTGGGACAAACACACATACCCAAACAACAATCTATTACCACCCATGACACTCAGCTGTGTTCTGCCATCTATAACCAACTCTTTAAACAGGTACAACACTGATATCAATAAAGCTCTGTGGTTCATTTATAGGTGAAGCAAATTTTTTTTCTCCTGTTAATGGTAATTTTCTTTTTATTTATGAAAAAGCTGAATATTGTATTGTGATATCCCATGCTTACTGATAAACCAAATATCTACTGTCTATGGTTCTTCCAATATGTTCAATGTTTAAGGTTGTAACTGGCTGTGATTCCTCAAACATTGCTGTCTGGGACCTGGAGAGTGGAAGTAAAGCAATTGTTTTCTCTAACGCACATGGAGAGGAGGAAATCACAAGTATGGTGTTTGATGAGTCTTGGAGAAGACTTATCACAGGGGCACGCAACGGAACAATTAAGGTAACTATTCCAGGAGCACTAAATGACACAGTTAAGGTAGATACAATGACACAATTAAGATGAATATCATAGAGCCACACAATGGCACATTTATGTTGAATATCATAGGGCAGTGCAACGGCACAATTATGTTGATTATCATAGGGGTTTGTTATAAGGAATTAAGGTAAATGTCACAAGGTGTTATTCTTTGTTACACGACACATGTCCAATATCTTTTGTTCCATATAAAAAAACATATGTTCCTTTTCACATGACACAGTATGAAGGGCTATAGCTTCAATATGACAATGATGATGTTACTTTTTGTCTTAGGTGTGGAACTTCCAGAATGGACATAATCTACACAAGTTAGAGGCCGTAGGGGAAGCTGAAGTGACTGGCATCGTCCCTGTCATGGACAAAAACATCATTCTTGCTGTCGGCTGGAGTCGCAAGATAATAGTTTACGATGATTCAGATGCTGATGTAGGTGGGATGAGAAAGACATTTATTCTTATGTCTATACAGTTAATGATGATTCAGATGCTGATGTAGGTAGGATCAAAGACAGATTTATCCTTAGGTCTATACAGTTTGTGATGATTCAGATGCTGATGTAGGTAGGATCAAAGACAGATTTATCCTTAGGTCTATACAGTTAATGAAGATTCAGATGCTGATGTAGGTAGGATCAAAGACAGATTTATCCTTAGGTCTATACAGTTAATGAAGATTCAGATGCTGATGTAGGTGGGGTCAGAAAGACAGATTTATCCTTAGGTCTATACAGTTAATGAAGATTCAGATGCTGATGTAGGTGGGATGAGAAAGACAGATTTATCCTTATGTCTATACAGTTTGTGAGTGATGATTCAGATGCTGATGTAGGTGGGATGAGAAAGACAGATTTATCCTTAGGTCTATACAGTTAATGAAGATTCAGATGCTGATGTAGGTGGGATCAGAAAGACAGATTTATCCTTATGTCTATACAGTTTGTGATGATTCAGATGCTGATGTAGGTGGGATGAGAAAGACAGATTTATCCTTAGGTCTATACAGTTTATGAGTGATGATTCAGATGCTGATGTAGGTGGGATGAGAAAGACAGATTTATCCTTAGGTCTATACAGTTAATGAAGATTCAGATGCTGATGTAGGTGGGATGAGAAAGACAGATTTATCCTTAGGTCTATACAGTTTATGAGTGATGATTCAGATGCTGATGTAGGTGTGATGAGAAAGACAGATTTATCCTTAGGTCTATACAATTTATGAGTGATGATTCAGATGCTGATGTAGGTGGGGTCAGAAAGACAGATTTATCCTTATGTCTACACAGTTTATGATGATTCAGATGCTGATGTAGGTGGGATGAGAAAGACAGATTTATCCTTATGTCTATACAGTTTGTGATGATTCAGATGCTGATGTAGGTGGGGTCAGAAAGACAGATTTATCCTTATGTCTATACAGTTTGTGAGTGATGATTCAGATGCTGATGTAGGTGGGATGAGAAAGACAGATTTATCCTTATGTCTATACAGTTTATGAGTGATGATTCAGATGCTGATGTAGGTGGGGTCAGAAAGACAGATTTATCCTTATGTCTATACAGTTAATGAAGATTCAGATGCTGATGTAGGTGGGATGAGAAAGACAGATTTATCCTTAGGTCTATACAGTTTATGATGATTCAGATGCTGATGTAGGTGGGATGAGAAAGACAGATTTATCCTTATGTCTATACAGTTTATGAGTGATGATTCAGATGCTGATGTAGGTGGGGTCAGAAAGACAGATTTATCCTTATGTCTATACAGTTCATGAAGATTCAGTTGCTGATGTAGGTGGGATGAGAAAGACAGATTTATCCTTAGGTCTATACAGTTTTTGAGTGATGATTCAGATGCTGATGTAGGTGGGATGAGAAAGACAGATTTATCCTTAGGTCTATACAATTTATGAGTGATGATTCAGATGCTGATGTAGGTGGGATGAGAAAGACAGATTTATCCTTAGGTCTATACAGTTTATGAGTGATGATTCAGATGCTGATGTAGGTGGGATGAGAAAGACAGATTTATCCTTATGTCTATACAGTTTATGAGTGATGATTCAGATGCTGATGTAGGTGGGATGAGAAAGACAGATTTATCCTTAGGTCTATACAGTTTATGAGTGATGATTCAGATGCTGATGTAGGTGGGATGAGAAAGACAGATTTATCCTTATGTCTATACAGTTTATGAGTGATGATTCAGATGCTGATGTAGGTGGGATGAGAAAGACAGATTTATCCTTATGTCTATACAGTTTATGATGATTCAGATGCTGATGTAGGTGGGATGAGAAAGACAGATTTATCCTTATGTCTATACAGTTTGTGAGTGATGATTCAGATGCTGATGTAGGTGGGATGAGAAAGACAGATTTATCCTTATGTCTATACAGTTTATGATGATTCAGATGCTGATGTAGGTGGGATGAGAAAGACAGATTTATCCTTATGTCTATACAGTTTATGAGTGATGATTCAGATGCTGATGTAGGTGGGATGAGAAAGACAGATTTATCCTTATGTCTATACAGTTTGTGAGTGATGATTCAGATGCTGATGTAGGTGGGATGAGAAAGACAGATTTATCCTTAGGTCTATACAATTTATGAGTGATGATTCAGATGCTGATGTAGGTGGGATGAGAAAGACAGATTTATCCTTAGGTCTATACAGTTTATGAGTGATGATTCAGATGCTGATGTAGGTGGGATGAGAAAGACAGATTTATCCTTAGGTCTATACAGTTTGTGAGTGATGATTCAGATGCTGATGTAGGTGGGATGAGAAAGACAGATTTATCCTTAGGTCTATACAGTTTATGAGTGATGATTCAGATGCTGATGTAGGTGGGATGAGAAAGACAGATTTATCCTTAGGTCTATACAGTTTATGAGTGATGATTCAGATGCTGATGTAGGTGGGATGAGAAAGACAGATTTATCCTTAGGTCTATACAGTTTGTGAGTGATGATTCAGATGCTGATGTAGGTGGGATGAGAAAGACAGATTTATCCTTAGGTCTATACAGTTTATGAGTGATGATTCAGATGCTGATGTAGGTGGGATGAGAAAGACAGATTTATCCTTATGTCTATACAGTTTATGAGTGATGATTCAGATGCTGATGTAGGTGGGATGAGAAAGACAGATTTATCCTTAGGTCTATACAATTTATGAGTGATGATTCAGATGCTGATGTAGGTGGGATGAGAAAGACAGATTTATCCTTAGGTCTATACAGTTTATGAGTGATGATTCAGATGCTGATGTAGGTGGGATGAGAAAGACAGATTTATCCTTATGTCTATACAGTTTGTGAGTGATGATTCAGATGCTGATGTAGGTGGGATGAGAAAGACAGATTTATCCTTATGTCTATACAGTTTGTGAGTGATGATTCAGATGCTGATGTAGGTGGGATGAGAAAGACAGATTTATCCTTATGTCTATACAGTTTGTGAGTGATGATTCAGATGCTGATGTAGGTGGGATGAGAAAGACAGATTTATCCTTAGGTCTATACAGTTTGTGAGTGATGATTCAGATGCTGATGTAGGTGGGATGAGAAAGACAGATTTATCCTTATGTCTATACAGTTTATGAGTGATGATTCAGATGCTGATGTAGGTGGGATGAGAAAGACAGATTTATCCTTAGGTCTATACAGTTTGTGAGTGATGATTCAGATGCTGATGTAGGTGGGATGAGAAAGACAGATTTATCCTTATGTCTATACAGTTTGTGAGTGATGATTCAGATGCTGATGTAGGTGGGATGAGAAAGACAGATTTATCCTTATGTCTATACAGTTTATGAGTGATGATTCAGATGCTGATGTAGGTGGGATGAGAAAGACAGATTTATCCTTATGTCTATACAGTTTATGAGTGATGATTCAGATGCTGATGTAGGTGGGATGAGAAAGACAGATTTATCCTTAGGTCTATACAGTTTATGAGTGATGATTCAGATGCTGATGTAGGTGGGATGAGAAAGACAGATTTATCCTTATGTCTATACAGTTTATGAGTGATGATTCAGATGCTGATGTAGGTGGGATGAGAAAGACAGATTTATCCTTAGGTCTATACAGTTTATGAGTGATGATTCAGATGCTGATGTAGGTGGGATGAGAAAGACAGATTCCTGAAGGTTCGAAGGAAATTACTAATTAGTGTTTGGAAATAACAAATGATTTAAGGAAGTAAATTATGGATGTATACAGTCAAAATTAATAAAAGGCCCTCACATATAGGGAAATACTTGTCTATAGGTGTCAGTCCCTATACGACATACTTCACTTTATACATGCAGTACTTACAATGTGTATTAGCATGTATTTAACTGACATCAGTACCAGGTGTTTTCTATAATATATCATATTACATCAGTAACTACATTGTGCTAGTACAGGTATTCCCGTTGTGTAAATCCCGTAAGAGTCTTTTCAGTTTCAAGTGAAATGAAATTTTTTTTTTTTGATTTCTATTCACATCTGAAATAAAGAAAATTAATTCAGGTGAAGTTTTATTCCTTCTCATACACAATATTTGTCTGTATTTCTAAAACAATGTGTTTTCTTTAACAAACTTTTCATGTGAAATATGCCATATCTATAGGTATGTGCCATTTGATGTGTTTCAGAATTTGTATGTCCCAGCAAACACAGACTGGAAAGGGGGACAACTCCATGCAGATGATATTTTAGCAATGGACTTTTGCCTGCCTCAGTTTCTGGCCACTGGTGGGTTTGATGGTGAGATTACAGTCTGGGACCTAGAAACAGAGAAAATATTTGTACGACTGCGAAGAGGACAGAAACCAGACATGTAAGCTGTTTAAACAGTTACTAACTTTGTGAACTCCATCAGTTCAGATTATTAATGTTCTAGCAAAGATAAAGTCACATGTTCCCAGACTGAGATAAGAAAATTGATAGTGAATCTTTAGAAATAATTTCAAATTATTTAAGTGATGTTCAAATTGTTCAGATAACACAGAAAAAGTGATAAGTTAGATAGACATTGTGTGAGTCTATAACACACTTACCAGTTAACTTGCTGATCTGTTCTACTGAAAAACATTTTCAAGTCTTTTACACTATTTCACATGTGTCTTCCCGAACAAAGTGTTATATAGGGGAAGTCTTATGTAATATGATATATATACTATCTATTATAATCAGAACTAAGAAAATTGAGGCTATCCAGGAACAACACAGTTTCCTCAGTAGTTACAGTACCATGGACATGCTAGAGGAGGCTCAGAAGTCATCCCAGACCACCTCTGGTCCACGACCTTCCTCCAATACTCTCCTGTCTCGTCCTAACTCACGCCACAGGAAGTCACACAGAATAGAAAAAGGGTAAGAAAAATATGGATATCTAAATTGAGCTTAAATGAGAGTCTTACCTTCAGAACCAGTTCTACCCCGAACGGGTCAAAGACCTGTTACAGCTTCATCTATTATTGTAGTACAGAACTAGTTCTACCCCTAACGGGTCAAAGACCTGTTACAGCTTCATCTATTATTGTAGCCCCTAACGGGTCAAAGACGTGTTACAGCTTCATCTATTATTGTAGTACAGAACCAGTTCTACCCCTAACGGGTCAAAGACCTGTTACATCTTCATCTATTATTGTAGTACAGAACCAGTTCTACCCCTAACGGGTCAAAGACCTGTTACATCTTCATCTATTATTGTAGTACAGAACCAGTTCTACCCCTAAAGGGTAAAAATGTAAGACCTATTACATCTTCATCTATTATTGTAGTACAGAACCAGTTCTACCCCTAAAGGGTCAAAGACCTGTTACATCTTCATCTATTATTGTAGTACAGAACCAGTTCTACCCCTAAAGGGTCAAAGACCTGTTACATCTTCATCTATTATTGTAGTACAGAACCAGTTCTACCCCTAAAGGGTCAAAGACCTGTTACATCTTCATCTATTATTGTAGTACAGAACCAGTTCTACCCCTAACGGGTCAAAGACCTATTACATCTTCATCTATTATTGTAGTACAGAACCAGTTCTACCCCTAACGGGTCAAAGACCTGTTACATCTTCATCTATTATTGTAGTACAGAACCAGTTCTACCCCTAACGGGTAAAAATGTAAGACCTATTACATCTTCATCTATTATTGTAGTACAGAACCAGTTCTACCCCTAAAGGGTCAAAGACCTGTTACATCTTCATCTATTATTGTAGTACAGAACCAGTTCTACCCCTAAAGGGTCAAAGACCTGTTACATCTTCATCTATTATTGTAGTACAGAACCAGTTCTACCCCTAAAGGGTAAGACCTGTTACATCTATTATTGTAGTACAGAACCAGTTCTACCCCTAAAGGGTAAGACCTGTTACATCTATTATTGTAGTACAGAACCAGTTCTACCCCTAAAGGGTCAAAGGGTAAGACCTATTACATCTATTATTGTAGTACAGAACCAATTTTACCTTTGTATCTACTTATATGTACACAATAATTAGGAAATTGCACAAGTTCCATACCAGATCAAATTTGGTGGTTATCATACTTGATCACTTTGAAAATAAAAATCTTGTTGTATTAGATAACCCCTGAATAGATCTGTTGTCAATATTATTATTACATCATAGTGTAAAGATTACAAAAAAGTTACTTTTTTTCTACCCCACTCTTTGAAGATGGTATATAGTACATGTACAAGGTATCTCATGAGCCTCCAGACAGATTAAATTCATATTCATACCATAATATCACCTAGTAAAGATGTGATATATAGTAATCATTTTGTGTCAACATGTCGGTGGAAAGCTTGGTTAAGATAGCTTAGATTTGGTTCATGTTCACACATCATGCCATTAACTTGATTAGCTTTTGGTGGGCATTGGTCAAGGTTTATTGTCAATGGTCAAACTTGAATACTTTGGAAGTAAGAAGCTAATGTAAAGTTATCTTATGAAACCCTTCATTAATTTCATTTTCATTCATACTGTGAAGTCAAACTGTCGGTCAAGGTTTAAGGTCAAAGATCACCTTTGACCACTTTGAAATGTAATTTCTCCTTTACCACGGGGTTGATTTACCTATATTCACACCATCACATCATGCTTGACTGATTTGCATTTACAGGCAGCCTGTTCCTGTTGATAAACTCCTGTTCCTGCGAGCACGCTGTGCTGGAAGAGCAATGGAGGCTGCCATGCTGGTATCTAGTGAGGCTGGTCACCTAAGATGGTGGTGTCTCTTCACGGCTAAACACGAGATGGGTGAGTAACCACAGACAAATTGATATCATGTCAGGCTCATTACTTACACTGGTGGTGTTTTTCCACTGCAAAACTTGGGATTGGTAAGTGTAACTACAGATAAAATGGTATCTTGTCACTTTCATAAAGTGTTTAATAAAAAGGAATAAAGTAAAATGTTTTACCCCTGCTGCCGGGCTGAAATTAGAGACTCTTCTTTCTCTAGCTAAGCACTATATAAATTGACAGAAGTGAAATTCACATTGGCTGTGGCTTGTAAGGTGACCTCACATCTTCTAACAGTCTGATAGGTATAATAGGGATGATGCTGACATATATTGTTATGTATATATATTATGTATCTATATTGATATTTTATTTTGTAGGGTATTTCTATGTACCAGACACAAAAGACGAGTCAGTATTAGCCATGTGTACAAACCTTAGTAACTCATGCCTTATCACCGGTGATACTACAGGACAGGTCAAATCATGGGACATCTCCGAGTACTGTTTACATACAACAGAGAGGGTAAAATATATCCCCACAATAGACTGACTCAATCTCCCAATATAAAATGTAGCCAAATAAGTTTGTCAAACATTGCTGAAATATTTCGTTGAGAGCTTAACTGGCACCAGGTATCCATGCTATGTGTATATCCTGTACCAATATGTTGATTTCAGGACAAAATCATGAAAAAATTTACATATGGAACTAATAAATTTCAGTGAAGGTGATACTGCTAGAAAGACCAAATTGTTCAGGTCAAAGTTCAATGTTCAAACTGATGATATTTTTGCCATAACATGATCATACTTGTTGTTTGTTTGTAGAGAGTGAAGACATGTCCGCCTCTGAATGTGTCCTTCAAGGCCCACGACTCTGCTGTGGTCAGTGTGGAGTATGTTACACACGAAGCAGGGGAATTCATCCTTACTGCCTCTACAGACAAAACAGCACGGCTCTGGACCATGGAGGGTCACTACATAGGAACGTTTGGTCAGGTAGGTAATATGTGACAGAATTTAATAACATTTTTGTAAGAATTTGGAAATTTCATTTTGTGTAGAGTTCTTACATTTTCACTAATTTTTCTATGGAGGATGATTCACTCCCCTTTTTTTCATTGAATACTGACACACATTGTATACTCTCACATTATTTACAGAAAATGTCAAAATTGAAAGAAGCTAGACTACTTTAAATTTTAAATTTTGATATGTTTTTATCAGAAAAAATTGTGGAATCTGAAGAACAAAATGACTTGGTGTCATCCTAAGACACCGTGGGATATGACGGGGACCAGTAAGACAGAGGGTAAGGAGCAGGAAGCTTGACTGGTTGTCATACCTATAAGGTGTAAAATGATGCTGTTTGATTAAATATCTCAAGAAAGAGTACAGGTCATTTGCCATATCTGGCTGCTGCAGTAGATTTTAACCAGTTTAGCTGCTAGCAAAAGTGTTCTGATTGTTATAGGCTAAGTGTCAATTGTTTTGTATTACTTACTGGAAAGAAAAAGTGAAAAACCATCTTGTCACTATTGACCTGTCATAGTCTGATAATTTCAATTTCAATTTTAGCTCACCTGGTCTAAAGGATTGATCTATAAGATAGAGAACAGTTGGTCAGTGTAGGCTTAAGTCATCTAGTTAGTTAGTAGTGTTGTTTGATTTGTTATAACAGGTGATAAGACAAACAACAACAGCCAATCAGATATAGGTATGGAGCCAGAAAATGTACAAGTCAAAAATCACGAGGAAAGTTCAAATAAGGACAATCGGGAGGTAGTGGAGGAGAAGGAAGAAGAGGAGGAAGATGTGGAAGATGAATCTGTGGAGGTGAGTTCACGTGACATTGACCTTTATGTTGTAATGGTGTTGTAACATGTGATATTGTGGCTAATATGACCTTGTACTTTTTCCTTGGGATGTGTTCTGTACCCTTCTTTTAACTTCTTAGATGTATAGACATACATTGATTATATAGAGGGGGTACTTATGGTGGTAGGTTTTTTAAATATTGTTCAATCATAAACTGTAATAATCCAGAGCACCACATTAAGTGGATGAATTTTGATGTTTTATTTCATCACCCTGATACTGTTTGGTATCTACACTCAACATGGACCACCCACATACCAACCAACTCACTTGGAACTGACATTGACTCTATATTTATGTTGATATTAAGTGAAATGTAAACTCTTACATAATCATACATACCTCAACAGAAAAAAGGATTCACTCAATAAAATTATGTCTTAGATTTTTCTGAAATGTCCAAAGAAATATTTAGTGGTGGAATAAGGAAACATTCTGTCTCTAAAAACCAAGAGAATAGACTACCATATAAATATTGTAATCAACTTAATTTGAATATATCCTTTCTATATTACACAAAGAAACTTAGTATATTCATAGAAATAATAAGTCTTAACCACAAATAAACTTGATACATTGAAAGCTAGGATAATCACTCCTGAAGAGCTGATAGGTCACATGGAAGGAAGTCGGTATCCAAAACCTTATTGTATGATATATATAGCACCCCTTAACATGTTGATCTATGTAGTCACAGATAGGTGAATATTCTCCAGTGACTTCCATTATACATTTGTGTTCCTCTGAAATAATTCTGCATGTATATTTAAATTTAATGGGGTTTGTGATAATAGTCTTTTAATATCAACATAACGACAGCATCAAAGATTTGTGTGGAATGTTTGTATTGATATTGTGATATCTTCCATCATTCTACAGCTGTATCATTAGGGTTTTCTTCAAATTCCTCACAAACACAATGCAAAACCTTCATATTCTGAAACGATTATCAAAAAATTAGAAATACAATATAATAAAATTTATAATGAAGAAAAATTGGAATAACACAATCATTTGAAGACACAAGTGAAAAGGGTTTTTTTATATTCTTTTACTTATAAAATTTTTAATAACAATGTTTAATTAATTTAGGACTTGTACTAATATTTAACAACTTGTAAAACAGAAATGGTTTTTGTGTTTGTGTTGGTTTGATGACCCCTGTGTAATCAGGTTATTTATGGCTTGACCAGAGAACTGACCGACTAACCAATACTAGTGGAAGGATTGTATGTTTCTAACACATTCATCAGCAATATTAGAACTAAAGTGACTTTACTGTCAAAACCTTGAGGGAACTAAAAACATGAGTAGGTGGAAGACCTATGGAAAAGTTGGGGAGGGAGGGGGTACCATTCAAAAGTATCATGGGATGTTATGGGATATAAGTTTACGGAAAATTTTACCAGCTGAGTGGTGTGATTACTATTGAAGGTGATTGAAATCAGTGTGTGATTGAGGTTTTACCTCTAGTATTGGTCACTCATTTTCTGTGGAAGTTGTTTTTTCCAAATTGTTAGATAATCATATAACATGTTTAGTAACCATGTGGGCAATTATACAATTCATTGGTAACCATGAAGGCAATCATACAATTCATTGGTAACCATGAAGGCAATTATACAATTCATTGGTTACCATGAAGGCAATTATACAATTCATTGGTAACCATGAAGGCAATCATACAATTCATTGGTAACCATGAAGGCAATTATACAATTCATTGGTTACCATGAAGGCAATCATACAATTCATTGGTAACCATGAAGGCAATCGTACAATTCATTGGTAACCATGAAGGCAATTATACAATTCATTGGTAACCATGTGGGCAATTATACAATTCATTGGTAACCATGAAGGCAATTATACAATTCATTGCTAACCATGTGGGCAATTATACAATTCATTGGTAACCATGAAGGCAATCATACAATTCATTGGTTACTATGAAGGTAATTATTCAGTTCATTGGTAACCATGAAGGCAATTATACAATTCATTGGTAACCATGAAGGCAATCATACAATTCATTGGTAACCATGAAGGCAATGATATTGTTCGTTGCTAACCATGTTGGCAATTATACAATTCATTGGTAACCATGAAGGCAATTATATTGTTCATTGCTAACCATGAAGGCAATTACATTGTTCATTGCTAACCATGTGGGCAATCATAAAATTTATTTGTAACCATGGTATCAATAGTCAGGTAGCTGGTTTAGTTACCTTGATGTGTGGATGTTTCTATGGTAATCTTGTTGATACATAGTTTGCTGGTCAAGTGATGCTGTATTGACCTCACAACAGGTGTCAGGTTGTCCCTAAATCATAATGATAATGCTTGTTACAGTAGATTGGTGACAACTTTAATTACCCTGGGATTGGTAGTCAGAGAGTATGTCTTTGGTTACCCTAGGATTGGTAGACAGACAGTATGTCTTTGGTTACCCTGGGATTGGTAGTCAGAGAGTATGTCTTTGGTTACCCTGGGATTGGTAGTCAGAGAGTATGTCTTTGGTTACAATGGGATTGGTAGTCAGAGAGTATGTCTTTGGTTACCCTGGGATTGGTAGTCAGAGAGTATGTCTTTGGTTACCCTGGGATTGGTAGTCAGAGAGTATGTCTTTGGTTACCCTGGGATTGGTAGTCAGAGAGTATGTCTTTGGTTACCCTGGGATTGGTAGTCAGAGAGTATGTCTTTGGTTACCCTGGGATTGGTAGTCAGAGAGTGTGTATTTGGTTACAGTGGGATTGGTAGTCAGAGAGTGTGTATTTGGTTACCCTGGGATTGGTAGTCAGAGAGTATGTCTTTGGTTACCCTAGGATTGGTAGTCAGAGAGTATGTCTTTGGTTACCCTGGGATTGGTAGTCAGAGAGTATGTCTTTGGTTACCCTGGGTTTGGTAGTCAGAGAGTTTGTATTTGGTTACCCTGGGATTGGTAATCAGAGAGTGTGTATTTGGTTACCCTGGGATTGGTAGTCGGACAGTATATCTTTGGTTACCCAGCACCCTGTACACATTTAGTTGTATGCACTGTGGCTGTTGTTTATAGACCTCCTTGCCTACACAGGCTACCCAGGTGGAGGGACAAAATGATAAGGGTCACAACCTAAACATCAAGGTCAGGGCACAGACTATTGACCTTGGGTCACTACGACCTGAGCGCTCAAAGGTAGGTGGTTGCCATGCTAATTTATTGCATGTTTTTTGTTTTCTAATTCTTTCCTTACACTCTAATGATGTAATGTCTTTTTGTTTTTGTTTTTGTTTTTTTCTTATTACAAAAATCTCAGGTCAGAAGTTTTCAAAAGCCAAACCGTGTGAGACAAAATAAGAAAATTAAACTTCCTCAACTGTTATGAATTAACTAGTAGAAAAATGATGTTCAAGAATAGTCATGATGATGATGGATGCTTTATATTAATCAATAATTTTTGATAATAGAAAGTTTTAATTACAGTTAAGTAATGCAGTTTTTAATGTGAACATAACATACAGAAGCAGGAATTGTGATTCTATTTCCTTGAGTTTCTTTATTTTTGATATGATTAAGAGAGATTTTGTTGTTGATACGATAAGGAAAAATGTATGTGGTAAATTTGCATTTTGAGGTTGACATTCCTTTTTAAAATGCTACTTGCAGACATTCCTTGGCTCCAAGGTAGCAAAGCAATTACAGAGTATGAAGACATGTCGTATGGACAGAAGGAACAGGCTGGCTGAGGATGTAGACTTTACTATTACTCAGAGATATGGCAAATTATGCTCCCCTTTCCAGGCTCTTCAAACAAAGGTAGGAAATCACAAATTGAGTATTCCTTTCGGACCTTCAAAACAAAAGTAGGTAATGATAAATACCTTTCTGATCAAAGGTTTGCTGCAACTCCCATCTCCTGACCACCTTGCAAATTGTCTTCTTTGCAGGTCCTCCAAAGGCAATCCATTTTTGGTCCTCTATATAACCCCTCCCTCTTTCAGGTCCTCCTGACAAACGTTAGTAATGACAAACTGTACTCCCTTTCCATGCCCTCCATACAATTGTAGATCATGAAAAACTGTCCCCTTTCCATGTCCTCCAGACAAAAAGGTGTTTCCCATTCAAGCCTCTAGACAAACCTAGGTCATGGCAAATTGTCTTCCCCTGTCTAGTTCCTCCAAATAAAGGTAATTGATGACAAACTGTCCTCCTCCTTGCAGGTTTTTCAAGCACAGGTAGGCAGTGATAAATTATCACCCTCTTCTTCAGGTCCTCCAGACTAAAGTTGGTCATCTCAAACTGTCCTCCCCCTTCCAGACAAAAGGAAGTCATATATAATTTGACCTCCCCTTTTGGGACCTTGAATCATCCTCTCCCTTCCAGGTCCTCTGAACAAATGTAGGTGATAAAAAACTGTTTCAGATCCTCTACACAAAGGAAGCTTCTACAGCCTTTAATGCTTCTAACAAAGTCACCTAGACCTACCATGGTCTATATATCTTTCTATCAATGTATAATAAAGTAGTTGATGCAAACTTTCCTCTCCCAAAAAATTAAAATAAGATGATTTTGATGTCTGCAGGATGTTGTCGACGTGAAGCTGCCAAGCATGCCCATGAGTCAAAGAATGATCAACAAGGGGTACACATCAGATAACATGACAGAGGAAATGCTGAGAAACATGGACTTTTCCTATGGGAACCCTGACACCCCTCCAAGTAGTGACCAAGAAAAAAAGGTTACTAGTGTCCCAAAGTCTGACAAGACTTCCACACCTGCCAGTAGAAGAGGTGCACCAAGACAAATCTCTGCTGTCAAAAAACACAACACTGTTGTATAGTATTACTGATGATGACACCTACCAATGATGTTAACTTGTGGTCTTCTGCAGAGCAAATTTTTACACTGACAGATAGGGTTGTGGCATCCGGAACAGCTCATTGTGGATATAGTTGAATGAGTTTGGTACAAGTCATTTTCACTTGACCAATGGAAATACTGTTTCAGTCAAACATACATTCACTGGTCACTGATATAGTCTCATGGTCCATAACCTGAATGGAAACATCATCAGACAAGTGTTTACAAAGCAGTTGGTCTATACCCAACTGTGTCATGCATATATCCAGTGAGACAACCTAATAAAGGTTAACCGATTAATGCATGGTGAACAGGAAAATGTCTTAAATGAACTATTTATATGTATCCTTGGAAGAAACAAGGGGAGATAACTCAACAACTAAGATCCTGATGAGGTGCCTGGTACTACTGAGGTTGTTCTTTTGTCCATTTTTTGGTTTCGTTTTGACACAATATCTCAAGTTCTGCTAGGCCAATTAGTGCTTCTTTTGTTGGAGTGGTTGATTGGTCCTGGGGTCAAAAAGTCATCTCCATTACTACAAATAGAAAATGGATTTCAGCAAAATATGTTCAATTTTATTTGGATGACTACAATAAAACTTTTTCCATTGCTTCTTCATAGGAAGATCTAGTTTTTCAATTGATTTTTATGTTCAGAGATCAAAGGTAGAGATCACCATTATCATAAATAGAAATGGGAATATATATGAGGTAAACACGATCATATCTAAATGTTACTGCTAAATTAGGACATAATGAAACATGACTGAAATCATATGAGAAGTCATATGACCACAGGTCAAGTTCATTAGGTCAAAGATTGGTCAAATTTGAAGTATTGTGCTTGCAGATATTCTGTTATGACATAGTGAAGTGTTAACAGCTGTTATCAAATGAGAAGATGGCTGAACAAAGGTCAAAGTTTGAGGTCAAATTTGAAATGTTTCATTGGTAGATCTATTTTTGTTATGACATAACAAGCATTATTACCTGAAATCAATTGAGAAGTCACCTGACAACAGATCAAGGTCACCAGGTCAGAGGTAATTGTCAAGTTTGGAATATTTATCTTTATTTCACAGACATTTTATTGTGTCAATAAGGAAAGAAAATAAGGAAAATGCTCATCTCCATCTAGGTAAACACCTGTACATGTTGGTAGGATATGTGTGGGAATTTCTCACGCAACCTCTTCCTGCTCACAGAAGAATCTTTTCAGGGAGACAATCCAAACTCCTCCCAAACCATGAATAATTTGATATGGGGACCCAAAAAAATACTACCTGTGACAGGAAGAATCTATGTGACAAGTTTATTTCCATCCAAGTAGACAACTGGATAACTACATCTACATACTACATACCCTTGACAGGAAGTATCTGCTGGGTGTATCTTAGTCCAGGAAAACAACCCAAACCTTCTAATTAGTAATAATTTGATAGACAGGTACCGAAATATCTGCAGACAGGAAGAACCTGTCCAGTGAATATATTGAATCCGTCCAGGGAGACAGCCCTAACCTCCAAGCCAAGCCAACTGATTATATCTACATACCCATGACAGGGAAAATCCGTCCAGTGAGTTCATATCTTTACTATTAAGTCCATCCAGGGAGACAACCTCCAATTTTCCATCGTCATCTGATTTGATTTTTCCTGAACTGCTACAGATGTCATGGTAGTGGATTACTGGCTTCCTCCATTGGCAGATACAGTTTGATGACCTTTATTTTCTATGGTTTTTTATGTCTTTTTTTTATATGTCTTAAGTTTTAATTATAAAGATAAAGATATTTTTGCTACTTAGCTGTATTACAGATATGTGCTCATTGTATATATGCACACAACAAATGTTGTTAGTTACTTACCAATATGACTGAATTTTATTCATTTATATACTGTGATATGTCTCTTTATGTGTTACTGGATGTCATTGCTCTTTTTTTTACTGTTAAAATGTGATTTAAAGAAATATACTGTTTAAGTGTATAATTGTTATCAGTAAAGCTACTTTTACTGTTTATTTTTTTACAAGTTCAATTTTGTGTAAAACATAGATTTATAAATATGAAATACATGTATGTAATGAATATCTGTGTTACAATGACCGAATCTATTATCAATAGCCTAAAATGTTACCCATAGCAATTCATTTGTTTGGGTGAGAACAACTGATGTACAACCAGTGTATCTTTTTGGCTATTTTTATGACCCTCCCTTCCCAAGTCTCTTAGCCTTCTGCTTTGCTATCTCGGTCAAGGATGATAGACTGGTATGTGGTGTAGGCTGGTTTGGGATTGTACATTATTTTGGGGATTATAAGCTATTTTGGAGATTCCGGGTGTAGGAAGTTTTGGGATTACATGCATTGGCCAACAATTTGGGATGTAGGCTGATTTGGGGCAAAGGTTTGTTTGGGGTGAAAGGCTAGTTAATGGTGTAGGCTAGATTGGGGTATCGTGCTTTGGGGTTATAAAGTATTTTGGGATAATATATGGTGGTTTAAGGTAATATCGGGTGGTTTGGGGGTATAGGACAATTTGTAGTGTATGCAACTTTGGAATAATATAGGCTGATTTGAATGTTTTGAAGGATAAATCAGACTTGATGTATGCATGTGACTGGAGTGTGTAGAAACTAAAGAAAAAGCACAATAAAACACACTTTAGGTAATGTACAAATGTAATATTGAAGCAGAAATAAGCCGACAATTTAACACTTGACAGAGAATCATGAGGCCATAACCTAACTAGGTTATACCTATTGATCAAGTTTGTATTTTAAGGTTGTGTTGTCTTGCTACACATATCTCGAAATACATTTATTTACCAGAATGGTTTTGGAGTATATGCTATTAAATCCTCCTAATTTTAAAGTCCTTTTGTGAGATATATATTGATATTTAAAATATTACTGCTAGTCATTGTTTGCATGTTTCTGAAGTTATCTGTTGTTGACTTTGTGAGGTTCTATGAATGGTTCTCAAAGTTGTATAAGGACTGAGATGGGTTTGATATATTATAATAATATTATACAGTAATATATCATACTTGGGTACCTGGCATTGATCATAGGTGTGTGACCATAGCTATAGTACCTGTGTGGAGTATGGCTACAGCTGTGGTACCTGTCATATCAGCGGAGGGGAGTGTGGCTACAGCTGTGGTACCTGTCACATCAGCTGTGGGGGTGTGGCTACAGTTGTGGTACATGTCATATCAGCGGAGGGGAGTGTGGCTACAGCTGTGGTACCTGTCACATCAGCTGTGGGAAGTGTGGCTACAGCTGTGGCACCTGTCACATCAGCTGTGGGGAGTGTGGCTACAGCTGTGGCACCTGTCGCATCAGCTGTAGGGGGTGTGGCTACAGCTGTGGTACCTGTCCCATCAGCTGTGGGGGTGTGGCTACAGCTGTGGTACCTGTCCCATCAGCTGTGGGGGTGTGGCTACAGTTGTGGTACCTGTCACATCAGCTGTGGGGAGTGTGGCTACAATTGTGGTACCCGTCCCATCAGCTGTGGGGGGGGGGGGGGGGGGGGGGTGTGGCTACAGTTGTGATACCTGTCACATCAGCTGTGTGGGGTGTGACTAGTTATATTTGTTGGTCGTTTCTTTTTTAGTTAATATCACTTTGTGAAATGGTACTAAATAAAGCTGTGATATTTTTGTTAATTTGCATTCTTGAGGCATCCTCTTCACTCATGTTTATTAAAATTATGATAAAATATTTCATCTCTTTGTTTTTTTTCTCCGGATGGAAAAGCACTCACATTTATGCTAGAACTGTCGTTATATGATGACCAATTTCACTGAACACACCTTCTGTGTCCCAACACACTGCCTTACATAATGAAACTTTAATTGCTCCTTATTAAATAATTGTGAATTTTCATGGCCTTTAATAACACATTACCAATGTTGATTTTTTCATATTTGTGAATCAACTTTTACAGGACAGATGTTTTCAGATTAATAACTGATGACTTGGTCAATATGTTTAACTGGAGCAGGTGAATGAGTTATTACCTGTCACGCTATTTCTGGTTAAAGTTTCTGATCCATGTTTGCTTACATATATTTTTCATACACATGTATAAACATAAAACAAAGATTGATTCAGAAATAATTTATTAGCAGAGTGATTACACAAGCTTGTACAGGTGTAGCTTAAAGATTCAAACATAATGTAATGTATACCTCAAAATAATCCGTTCACTGCATAGCATGCAGGAATAAACAGTTAATTGTAACATAATATAATCAAGCCATTAACTTTATAATAGAATTAGGGCATTAACTCACAGCTTGTTGGAATGTACTCATTAAATATATTGTAGATTTATAAGGTGCATGTTTGTAACAAACCAAAGTGACATGATTTCTAAGGGAAGATAACAGTAACAAGCCAAGGAGGAATGATATGATGGATAAGGGGAAATAATGACATTAGAGAGATGCAAGGGAGAGAAGTCTTGGTGGACTGTGATAGGAACCAATGGAGGCAGGCAATTTATTGAATCATCTAGGATTACAGAGAATACACAACAAAATAACAAACAAGATGTAGGGACTGAATTAAGTCTAAGATTAGGAAAAGCACATTAAACGTGTTGCAAAACATGGGTATTTAGGTGCACATAACGGATACAATGTAGTTTAATAAAAGCAACAATACAGATATATTTATTATATAACTTCGACATCTCTAGAAACAACAATAGTGTGACCTTACACAATAATGCTCCCACTGATATAAACATCTGATATAAAGATTTGACACAGAAAAAGTGACCCTAAAGTTTAATGTGTATGCTCCATCTAGCACATGCACTATATCCATGATCAGCAGTACCTAACATAATGAATTGTGCTAAATTTTGGATGGGTCTACTTGTGATGTCACATTTACACATCTGGATCAACAAATCATTCTTAATCCCATCATATATAGGCCTGTTCTTTGTGTATAAAGTTAAACTGTTAGGCACTTTCTGTTTCATACACCAGAGAGAAAGAGTCCCGGGAGCTGGAAATAGTTCATAAACAAGTCCTACCCCTCTGAACAATACATTGTAAAGCACCTTCAGTTTGAGCCATAATAACATCTCCCTCGAGGTCAGTCCTCTGGACAGGTCATAACTAACAAAATCAGGATTCTGTAAAACTATGTCCATGGTTAAATCTAGCCATATGACATGTGGTGATGAAATTCAGACCAATTTCAATATTCACCTTTTAGTTATGAATTTTTAATGGTAATGACGGTCAACAAGGCAATAATGTCATTCTCACAAAACATAAATAAACCCCTGTATTCTCTGGACACAGGGCTGACCTCTGGGGATTTCATACTAACATCAACATAGAAACATATTGCTAAAAACAAATTTCTAGATACATCAATATCAACAAGTCATAGATTTATATAATCTGTGCAAAAGAGAAAAATATCACAGAACAGCTATTTGATAAAAATACTAAACACTCTAAACATCATCCAATAATCAAAACAATTTTAAATCAGGAATGCCTCGCCGAAAATATAACTTTGATTTGTAAGAAAATAAGCTATCTATGGTACAAGTTTAATTGAAGTACCAGATCAGCCAGATGTGATGATGAGAAAGCCTGATTTTTCTGCCTCTTTTCTAATTAAAATATTTATGTTAAAATAAAAAGCTCTAGCATAATTGTTGATTTCACTAATTGTATTGCAGTGTTTTGACTGTAACACAAGAGATGGATAAGCACTTCATGATCATGTAAATATCACAGATCCACTAAATAGGTGGTGAAAAATGGACACCAGTGTCACAACCAGTGGGCACAAACTTTGTGCCATTGACGTGTGACATTATAAAATTGGTACTTAAAGAAAATTGTAACATAGTGGACCCTGGTACCATTTTCATTGGACGGTATGAAAAGATAACTGGACAAACAGATGCCAGCATCAACACTGGACGGCTACTTGGGTCAGTAACACAGATACGCTTTACTTATAACAATTAGTGACTGGGTTTGTGTCAATACTGTTCTAAGGTGAGACATATTGCTGAGAGGCAATACAACAAAGCATACAGTAAACAGATAACATATATCAAAGGATGTATAGATTTATACACATTGCACATACAGAAAATTGGTGCATTCACACTTATATATAAGTTATTAAAACAAAATACACCTTAATAAAAACAAATCAGGGTAAACATTTCATCAAATTAGAAAGTTCCTTCTTCACTTTTGATAACTACCAATAATAACAGAAAAATTTTGTATCCAAAATACAAAGCAAAAAAAAAAAAAAAAAAATTCATAACAAGAATTCTTCGTTGATGATTTTTCCTCACTGGCAAGACATGAAAAGACCAGATTTGTTATAAAGAAATGCTGGTGTAAAAAGCTAGATTTTTCCGATGGTGTGGATAAGATTTCATAATTAGAACTTACATGTCCTTGAGGTATTTAATGAAATAGTTTGAAATGACAATAAGTTCAAGACCACACAATTCAGAGAATGATCTGAAAAATAAATAGTTGCAAAATTACATCTACCTAGGTAAATAATACACTAATATGTTACGATTGATATTGCATTAGTGTTCAGTTGTTGCCAGTGGTGGGCACCTCTATATGTTGTTCCCCGTCAGGGTGACGTGGGGACTCCCCTGGGACCGGTGTCGTGTTGGACGACTCTGGTACAGGAGAGTTCTGTTTGGATGTTCCTCCACGAGCAGACACTGGCCTTGCTGTCACCCTTCCTGATGTGGGGCGTGGGGACTGCAGGGGTCGTGCAGAAGTAGGACGGGCCACGCGGACCGGAGGGGCCTGTTGTGTGACACGCTGTCCACCAGTCTGGTTAATGGGTGGGGGAGTCTGATGCATTTGGGGGTGTAGTGTGTATGGATCCTGTAAATACATGTACAATTATTATACCTGACATGACTGTTAATACCAAACAACATTCATTACTGATCAATATTTCAGTAATCTGTATAACAAGCAGCAAAAAGATAGAGGGCTGGGTAAGTTTAGTCCCCACAGACAGTACTTTCAAGTAGGTGTGATATTTTCATTAGTGTAGATTTTTGAACTGCCATTGTCGGTGGTACTTGCGTAACATACATAAGTGTTAGATAAATCACTTACCGGACGTCCCTGCTGCTGAGCCTGTGTAAACTTTGCTTCTATTTTCTCCATGCGTCCCTTATAGATGTGTCCATCTGCTCCCTGTACATTCACCTCTTCCCTACAACATAAACAGGTTTATCCCCATCAACCTAACATTTTCAGCAACTGTTCCCAATGTATATAGTCTGGAAGGAATGTGATAACACTGTATGCTTTATTACAATAGCTAAGAAAATGACTTATCTTTCGGTATAAATATAAACCAAATGTATATGTTATGTGTATATATATATACATATAAATGAAAACTTCAAAATAATGCTTCTCAATCAGGACAGAATTACTCGGATAACAATACATACTTGTATAGAGGGTACACAGCTTCCTCATCTTCTCGGAACAAATGGCTGCAAAATAACAACAGATTATATACTAAATATCAAATACTATTAAAAGATCTAAGTCCTAGACAATCTCAAGACTGTCACCTTAAGCTTGAATTTGGCCAATTACATATACCCATGTGTACTTTCAAATTGATAAAGATACTTGTTTTCATCAGGCAAAACACCTGGTCACATCCAATGAATTCTGCACCTCATGCAGTAACTACTAGTGATATCAAATCCAATGTAATGTCAAAATAACTCAAAAGTTTCTTTAATCATAATCACACCAGTCATGTGATTTTCCATTTTTGTTAGCCCTAAGGTTCTGGTCTACACAATCAAAATCACAATGGAAAGTTGTTGTATTGATTGCTAATGAACAGAAAATACTTTTATTTAAACACTACAACAATAAAATGGCTTGAAAAATTTGTTTAGATCTTTTAGTAATGATTGAAATACGGAATAAATGAAACTGTATTAGGGGTACATATAATCTAGTAAAATAGACTATGTAATGAATGTGGTGCTGAATTGTTCCATTGAAAACCTTTTTGAAACTAGCCAGGAGGCATTGCAAACTCACCTGAGGTGGGAGAGGCGTGTGATGCGTTTGTGTGGGAAGGTTGTGGTGTGGTTCCCTCCACAAGCCCTCTGAGTGGCGTAGTAGTCAGCTATCTCAGGGTTAGCGAAGCTGTCAAAGTACAGGTAACAGTTAAAGACCAATATACGCACATACTACATATAACAATATCAATAACTGTTAGTCAAAGGAAGAAAATTTCAGCAGGTTTACAAAGTTTTATATCAGAAATGTTAGAAAAGGGTTCTTAAAAACATTAAAGTCACCAGATACAGGATAATTATGTTATTAATAGGATTGGAAAATACTACTGTATCTTTATCAACTGTTATTCCGCCATCCATATAACAATTTTTAGGACTCTGTTAGTAAGTTGAACTTAAAACCATCCCATAATATTCATGCAGTATCATCTGCTCTTATACAGAAAAGATGTGTTTATCTGTCCATAACCTAGTTTTCAGCCACATGACTGGGACAAGAACATTAGGATTGAATAAATACATTTGTATTTGAAGTGAAGATAAATACTTTTGTGCCATACAACATGCACATGCATCGGTGAACCAAAAAAGATACCTGTGCAGGTGTGACAAGAAGTGTACAGGTGATAAGAGGGTTCAGGTGAGGATAACACAATGATACAGGTAACCTTCAATGTAGTTTGAAAAATATCAAGTGAAGACATGAATGCCCTTGCTACTATGCAAATCAGAATCTGATCAGCACAGAACTTGGTGTTATGATACTAAGGGGCAAATATGAATCAAATCTGTTGATAGATTCTCAAGATAAGAAACTGATTCAGAACAGAACACAAAGTGACTGAACGACCTGGGTAACATTTTATGCCCCACAAAACATGGCGTAAATGATGATGAATGAAATTAAAGACTGTTTGATAGTGAACACTATAATCACAGAATATAATTCATAATGAGTAAAACAAACTTGGTTATCTAGAAAACTGTCCATGAATAAGAGTAAAGAGAATTCTGGGAGCTGACTGGTACCTACACAGCTAAATATCTGCCTGCAGGGATCTATAGTAAACAAGTTTAACATGATATTCAGGCTCCTGGACCTGCCTGCAGGGATCTACAGTAAACAAGACTAACATGATATTCAGGCTCCTGGACCTGCCTGCAGGGATCTATAGTAAACAAGACTAACATGATATTCAGGCTCCTGGACCTGCCTGCAGGGATCTATAGTAAACAAGTTTAACATGATATTCAGGCTCCTGGACCTGCCTGCAGGGATCTATCGTAAACAAGACTAACATGATATTCAGGCTCCTGGACCTGCCTGCAGGGATCTATAGTAAACAAGTTTAACATGATATTCAGGCTCCTGGACCTGCCTGCAGGGATCTATAGTAAACAAGTTTAACATGATATTCAGGCTCCTGGACCTGCCTGCAGGGATCTATAGTAAACAAGTTTAACATGATATTCAGGCTCCTGGACCTGCCTGCAGGGATCTACAGTAAACAAGACTAACATGATATTCAGGCTCCTGGACCTGCCTGCAGGGATCTATAGTAAACAAGTTTAACATGATATTCAGGCTCCTGGACCTGCCTGCAGGGATCTATAGTAAACAAGTTTAACATGATATTCAGGCTCCTGGACCTGCCTGCAGGGATCTATAGTAAACAAGACTAACATGATATTCAGGCTCCTGGACCTGCCTGCAGGGATCTATAGTAAACAAGTTTAACATGATATTCAGGCTCCTGGACCTGCCTGCAGGGATCTATAGTAAACAAGACTAACATGATATTCAGGCTCCTGGACCTGCCTGCAGGGATCTATCGTAAACAAGACTAACATGATATTCGGGCTCCTGGACCTGCCTGCAGGGATCTATCGTAAACAAGACTAACATGATATTCGGGCTCCTGGACCTGCCTGCAGGGATCTATAGTAAACAAGACTAACATGATATTCAGGTTCCTGGACCTGCCTGCAGGGATCTATCGTAAACAAGACTAACATGATATTCAGGCTCCTGGACCTGCCTGCAGGGATCTATAGTAAACAAGACTAACATGATATTCGGGCTCCTGGACCTTTATATTTTATTGTTAAACTGATCCTTTTTAAATTATTGGTATAAACATTGTATAGGAAGACATAACAGCTGATGTGGTGATAGCGTGTAGATATATAATCTGAACACACAGTGATGATAAATGCCATCAAACTTTTGAAGCAAGTGACAATGCTTGACCTTGACCTTTGACAAATATAAGTAGAGATATAATGTTGCCACTCTGCTGTAGTACTAAGTACTTCCATGCATATAATCACTTACGCCTCACGCTGCTTCTTGAAAGTATCAAGGTCATGGCCAAAATGAACAAAAAAGGCTCTCAAGTCTGATTTACGAATTCTCACTAACTCCTTTTCAGCAAGAGCTCTTTCAAAGTTGATGTTGTTTTTTCCAAGGAGACCACTTCAAAGGTGAAAAGCAAGAAAGAAATGAAAAGAAAGAAGTGATGAGAGGAGGGTGTGTGTGAACACAGGACCAGTGGTTTAGTCAGGACACCGAGAGAAGAGAGGTGTCCCTAGAGGTGCAGGTCCCTGCTGACTAATCATGATCTCAACAGTTCTAATACACAATCATGCATGTCTGACCATTCAGTGGAAAAGCCAAACCCATACCCAAATGCACCATTCACTTTTAGTAATGTAAGGGAGTCCATCAATTACATTCATCTGTATATCTCTTATAGAAAAATCATGGTGCAGCTTGTTTGCATTGAAACCGAAAATGAGAATAGTCAGATAAGCATGAAATATATGATAATATTTATTCTGTGACAGATGAATTGCTTTTAGAATCAAAAGTATTCAATTCAAAAGTTACTATTGATCTTTTGCAGGTACATGTATTTAAGTAAAAGTTATCACTGGTATACAAAGTGACCTTGTGTTCCTTCCTTAGTGATAACAACACACAGGATCTTAACATCCATACAAAATAACTCAGCTGTCACAGATAAAATGTACACTTACACATGCAAATGTAGAAAAAATAATGAGAAACATTGTATTGATTGTATTGAATATCGCCCACTGGAGTGTGGATATGAGACACCCAACCACCAGGTAAGAAATAACCTTCACAGGTAAGTTTATATTTCATCGTAGGAAAATATTCAATTAAAACTATTACAGGTAGAATATCTATTTTAAAAGAAATGACACCTTTAATTGGTAAAATATTTAAATATAAGAGTTTTCCAGACAAATACCAAACAATAAATGCCAATAGCAAATGAATTAGTTTGAGCTGATGTTTACTGTGTATACACACTGAGGACTTGTCCTTCACAGTCTGCAAACAATCCTTACCAGGATCACCACAGCAAACTGGTGTAAGTGATTTCCCATCAAACCAATGCTTGATTTAGGGCGTTTAGAAAGCCAATATAGACAGGGCCAACAAGCTGTCGCCATGTCAATATTGACAACAAATATGATTTACTCCGACATTAAAGGACTGAAGGAATGTTTCGGCTAAATATTGTAGCTTTGTAGCAATATTTAGGGACCAATCCATCATAACATACCAAAATGTTGACACAGAACTAAGTAAATGTCCTGAAAATGTCCTCGTGTCAAAGCCAAGTATTCACACATTCTATGATTGAGGAGTTTGGAAACCTGGTGGCCAATTGTTGATAGAAAGTTTTGAGTTTAGGACTGTAGGTGACTTAAGGACAGCAAAGGGAGCTAGCATCTGAACATAGTATCTAATCTTGTTGACAGTGACATACAGAGATAGAAAGTGGGTTTTAATGACACTGATCAATATCATGTGATACAATAGTGGTGTGAGAGGGCCTGGTAAATGTTGGCCAAGTTGTACAATGATGGAATATAGTGCAGCACTGCATATCACAATATGGAGAGGGAGAGGCAGCATGGGTGTGGCACTCTGGGGAGAGGCTGGATTCTATATATATACAGGGTAAAAGTTAGTAATATATAGAGCAGAGAAAAGTTAGTATGGTATAATATGAGGAGTATGATTTCATTCCTCTAGTAAAATTACCGAGCACTGGGCTTGTCTATACCGGCATACATTCTGTTCAGGTAAACAATATTACAACATCATACATGTATAAATATGACAGCCACACAGAAACCTAGGTTAGGTGCATATGACAGCAACATATAATACAGCAAAGAAATAATATGAAGCAAACAAGAAAATAGTAAATAAATATCAACAAAAACTGCATAGTGCTTTTATATTGTGGAAGTGAATTTCGGTACTTGATATGATATATATTAACACAATAGTTGACAAGCATGGTCTCATCTTGGTGACGAGCATGAATTTGTAAGACTTTGATAAATTCATTTAAACAAATTGATTGTGCGAAGGGAAATTGAAAATACTGTCATCAAAATCACAAAGCACTATGTTGTCATTTAAAATCCTACTGTAATGTATTAACATGTTCTGTTACAAAACAAACAATCCAATACCCATTAGCGAGTTATTTCTGGCTAGAGTGATTTAGTTAGGAGTTTGATGTCAGATCTCACTGGAGTGCTCTTCATACAAAGAAAAAAGCATTCTAAACTGTTAACATCAAGGGCAGATTTTTGTTTAAACAGATTAACGAGAAACAATTTGATAGAAAGTACCACTTTAAAGACATGTCTAGTACAGCTTTTCTAAATGGGAGGAGAGAAACTTCTTTGGTAACTAAGGGAGTGGTGTCCATTGGTTGCTAGAATTCTAAAAGAAGCAGAGAAGGCATAATCCTTTTATGGCAGAAAGCAGAGGGGTAGTTTTTCTAGTTTATAAAAAAGATGAATAATGTATTATATGTCCCTGGTTAGGATTACAAAGAAGATTTTTATCTTAATATCTTACCTCTTGGCATGCTGACGGATCTGGTCAAGTTCAAATGTTGTGTAGGGTCTTGGGGAGCGAGTGGGTGCCAGTCCATTGTGTGTAGGTAAGGAGGGCACAGGACTGTAAAAGTAACACCACTTTACAACATCACGCTAGAGAACAAAATGGATGATCTGTACTGAGAACAGTGTACCATCATGCATCTCTCTATCCAATATTCAGAACTTCTGTTTGAACATTATCTGCTGATCTAGGATGATTTAATCCACATAATGTGTATTTCTTGCAATACCTACTGATGAACTCCCAAACAACACCTACTGATGAACTCCCTAACAACACCTACTGATGAACTCCCCTTCTAACAACACCTACTGATGAACTCCCTAACAACACCTAACAACACCTATGAACTCCCCTTCTAACAACACCTACTGATGAACTCCCCTTCTAACAACACCTACTGATGAACTCCCCTTCTAACAACACCTACTGATGAACTCCCCTTCTAACAACACCTACTGATGAACTCCCCTTCTAACAACACCTACTGATGAACTCCCCTTCTAACAACACCTACTGATGAACTCCCCTTCTAACAACACCTACTGATGAACTCCCCTTCTAACAACACCTACTGATGAACTCCCCTTCTAACAACACCTACTGATGAACTCCCCTTCTAACAACACCTACTGATGAACTCCCCTTCTAACAACACCTACTGATGAACTCCTCTTCTAACAACAACTACTGATGAACTCCCCTTCTAACAACACCTACTGATGAACTCCTCTTCTAACAACACCTACTGATGAACTCCTCTTCTAACAACACCTACTGATGAACTCCTCTTCTAACAACACCTACTGATGAACTCCCTAACAACACCTACTGATGAACTCCCCTTCTAACAACATCTACTGATGAACTCCCCTTCTAACAACATCTACTGATGAACTCCTCTTCTAACAACACCTACTGATGAACTCCCCTTCTAACAACACCTACTGATGAACTCCCCTTCTAACAACACCTACTGATGAACTCCCTAACAACACCTACTGATGAACTCCCCTTCTAACAACACCTACTGATGAACTCCCTAACAACACCTACTGATGAACTCCCTAACAACACCTACTGATGAACTCCTCTTCTAACTACATCTACTGATGAACTCCTCTTCTAACAACACCTACTGATGAACTCCCCTTCTAACAACACCTACTGATGAACTCCCTAACAACACCTACTGATGAACTCCTCTTCTAACAACACCTACTGATGAATCCCCTTCTAACAACACCTACTGATGAACTCCTCTTCTAACAACACCTACTGATGAACTCCTCTTCTAACAACATCTACTGATGAACTCCTCTTCTAACTACACCTACTGATGAACTCCCCTTCTAACAACACCTACTGATGAACTCCTCTTCTAACAACACCTACTGATGAAATCCCCTTCTAACAACACCTACTGATGAACTCCTCTTCTAACAACACCTACTGATGAACTCCCTAACAACACCTACTGATGAAATCCCCTTCTAACAACATCTACTGATGAACTCCCCTTCTAACAACATCTACTGATGAACTCCCCTTCTAACAACACCTACTGATGAACTTCCTCTTCTAACAACACCTACTGATGAAACTCCTAACAACTTCTAACAACACCTACTGATGAACTAACAACACCTACTGATGAACTCCCCTTCTAACAACACCTACTGATGAACTCCTCTTCTAACAACACCTACTGATGAACTCTAACAACACCTACTGATGAACTCCCTAACAACACCTACTGATGAACTCCTCTTCTAACAACACCTACTGATGAACTCCCCTTCTAACAACACCTACTGATGAACTCCCTAACAACACCTACTGATGAACTCCTCTTCTAACAACACCTACTGATGAACTCCTCTTCTAACAACACCTACTGATGAACTCCTCTTCTAACAACATCTACTGATGAACTCCCCTTCCAACAACATCTACTGATGAACTCCCTAACAACATCTACTGATGAACTCCCCTTCTAACAACACCTACTGATGAACTCCTCTTCTAACAACACCTACTGATGAACTCCCCTTCTAACAACACCTACTGATGAACTCCCTAACAACACCTACTGATGAACTCCCCTTCTAACAACACCTACTGATGATCTCCCCTTCTAACAACACCTACTGATGAACTCCCCTTCTAACAACACCTACTGATGAACTCCTCTTCTAACAACATCTACTGATGAACTCCTCTTCTAACAACACCTACTGATGAACTCCTCTTCTAACAACATCTACTGATGAACTCCTCTTCTAACTACACCTACTGATGAACTCCTCTTCTAACAACATCTACTGATGAACTCCTCTTCTAACAACACCTACTGATGAACTCCTCTTCTAACAACACCTACTGATGAACTCTAACAACACCTACTTCTAACAACACCTACTGATGAACTCCCCTTCTAACAACACCTACTGATGAACTCCTCTTCTAACAACACCTACTGATGAAATCCCCTTCTAACAACACCTACTGATGAACTCCTCTTCTAACTACATCTACTGATGAACTCCCCTTCTAACAACACCTACTGATGAACTCCCCTTCTAACAACACCTACTGATGAACTCCCTAACAACACCTACTGATGAACTCTTCTAACAACACCTACTGATGAACTCCCCTTCTAACAACACCTACTGATGAACTCCCCTAACAACACCTACTGATGAACTCCCCTTCTAACAACAACACCTACTGATAACAACAACTGAACTCCCCTTCTAACCCCTTCTAACAACACCTACTGATGAACTCCTTCTAACAACACCTACTGATGAACCTCTGATGAACTCTTCTAACAACACCTACTGATGAACTCCTAACAACACCTACTGATGAACTCCCTTCTAACAACACCTACTGATGAACTCCCCTTCTAACAACACCTACTGATTCTAACAACACTACTACTGATGAACTGAACTCCCCTTCAACAACACCTACTGATGAACTCCCCTTCTAACAACACCTACTGATGAACCCCCCCACCTCTAACAACACCTACTGATGAACTCCCTTCTAACAACACCTACACTGATGAACACAACACCTACTGATGAACTGATGAACTCCCCTTCTAACAACACCTACTGATGAACTCCCCTTCTAACAACACCTACTGATGAACTCCCCTTCTAACAACACCTACTGATGAACTCCCTAACAACACCTACTGATGAACTCCTCTTCTAACAACACCTACTGATGAAGTCCCCTTCTAACAACACCTACTGATGAACCCCCCCTCTAACAACACCTACTGATGAACTCCTCTTCTAACAACACCTACTGATGAACTCCTCTTCTAACAACACCTACTGATGAACTCCCTAACAACACCTACTGATGAAATCCCCTTCTAACAACACCTACAGATGAACTCTTCTTCTAACAACACCTACTGATGAACTCCTCTTCTAACAACACCTACTGATGAACTCCTCTTCTAACAACACCTACTGATGAACTCCCTAACAACACCTACTGATGAACTCCTCTTCTAACAACACCTACTGATGAACTCCCCCTTCTAACAACACCTACTGATGAACCTCTCTTCCAACAACACCTACTGATGAATACCCCTTCTAACAACAATGATTGAACTTTTGAAGACCTAAGTTCTTCACTTACCCTGTTGGCATGAGATCCACTGGTCTGTCACATGATATGCAGTGGAATTTTTGAATCAATTGCCTGTTGAAAAAGAAGAGAAGTAATATTAAAAAATTAGATACAATGATCCTTACACAATTGATCTGGAAAGGATCCCAGATAACAAGGACATTAACAGTACGACATTAACTGTAACTGAATCCTCTGTACTGACAGCTGGACCAAATGAAGACTGAAATGAACAGAGCAACTAGTAAATGGTTTTTTTTAAATTACATAAATCGTTCATGCCTACAAAACTTCCATTTCATTTTCAAGACTTGATATGTATATCTGAATAAATCCATGAATGAAACATATCAGATAACATTGATAAATTAAAGGGCTAAAGTTAGCTCTTCTCAATGATATTCTAATGGCGAAAGATTTTTCATTTACTTTATTTACTGTTTGCAGAAATTCTAAATGTGATCTTTAATAGTTAGCCTAATTCAACTGAAGTTTGTTGAAAAACCTTTGTGACCATTGAAATATACAATTAAAGCAATGCAAGAATCTGCATTACAAATTAGAGCAGTTGAGAGGGTCACCAAGAGGGTGAGTTAGTGAACGGGGCTTCAGGGGGACTCTCAATGTCTTGATTACAGGCAACTGTATCAGGTCCGAGTTGTTTAATATGAAAATCTGTCACTCACTTCCTGATACCAGCAGCATCATCTTCGCCCCACTCAGTGGACACCTGTGTGCGTTTAAGCTTGTCATTGAGTGCCTTGAGACGACTCTCCAGCCATTCCTTTAGAGGGTCAAGTTCTAGGCGGTCAAGCTTTCCATCAATGTCCTCATTAAGTTTATGACAAGTGGTGTTAAAGTTGTCTTCCTACCAACACAACTTACTCGTTAGACATATGTCATGGGTAAATGGTCAACAGAATTATCTTTAGCCAAACATTACTGACGTCCAGTCTTCTATGCAATATAATTTGACAATGATTGCATCAATAGTCTCTAATGCCTTACTGATAAGATACCTTTAACAGATTAGGGGCGTGTGACTCTCACTAATCACAGCCATTAAGTTGTAGTGAAGAGATAAGCAGTTTGCCCCAACATTAACCTTACAATCACACTACATAGGTAACCCACTAGGTGGGGCTACAGCTGTTTAAAACTGTCCATGGTAAGATTGTCAATATTTTGTCAAACAAGTACATACGTATCCAGACAGCTTTTCCAGAATTTCCTTGATCATCTTATTGATGTCATTGGTTGTAGAATCAAACAGGCTGTGGTTGACTTTGTTGTCCAGGGACCGCTTGTCTGCTTTCTGTAAAATAACCGTACCAGAATATGTATACACATATCACACAAACATAAGGACTATTTGGTATGAAAATAATTTTATAAAATCTGAAGGATTACACAAATGTGGTATGTAACTCTATGATAAATAAAATATCCTGGACCTATTTAATAAGAGTTATATTCTGATTAGAATAATGCCATGCTTACTGTTCATATGATAATGATCACAGGTGAGTCAATATTCACATGGGGAAACATAGGACTTTACCCGTCTTTGCTGCACTCTGTATACTATACATGTAAAAGCTGGTTGTGCCTTAGAATGAATGTAATTGTCCTATTGTCTTTTTCTGGTGTTGTTTGACCTTAAATGACTAAAACTGTTGATAGATCATAAAATGATACAAAAACAAAACAATCTGCTAAATTGATTACTAAGGTTAAAGTTGAATTTTACTGATTATTCAGATTAAATCTTTCCTATGAATCTATCACTATTGAGTTAAGTGTATATCATATTCATTGTCAGACTTTACAGGAGGCCAAATGAGCCGAAAGTGCTCACTTGTTGTGAACCTTAAAAAGAAGACTATATCACTTAAGCACATTTCTACAAACTTGAAAGCCCAGTCTGTAAGCATGCTACCACATAAATTCCGTGACCAATTTGTTACTGAAAAGAAGCTTGAAGTTCTTAACACATTTAACCCCTATGAATCTGAATGTAGTTTAAGTTCATGAATTTGAACCAAACTAGTATACCTTCATCCCAGTATCCTACTGAACCAATATCATGATTCTTGACCTCTTAGTTGTAACACATTTAGCCTCTGTGACCTTGAAATGGGGTAAAGGTCATTCATTTAAATAAATTTGGTATAGTTTCATCATCAAAGAGCATGACCCAATGTCGGTGGGCCTGATGGTTATCAAGAAGAAGTTGGTTATGTTGATGCCAGACAGATGACACTGCATCATTGTATAAACTCACTGTCTTTTGGCAAGTGAGCTAAAAACAGATGCTGAAATTTGAAGCAGAATGAGTTTGAAGCACAAATACTCACCACATCCACCTCCATCTGCACATACTCCTTGTCTGCCTTTATCTCATTCAGACGGTCACAGTAGGCCAGCAGATCCTGTACAAGGCATTCATATATCATTACTTACTTAAACAATTGGTAAACATTTAAAATGATAGCTTTTTATTTAGATTTTAAGAATGGGAACATTCTATATGGGTAAGACAACACTGCATGGTCTGGAAGGAGAAAGGAAGTTTAATACGACTGTCATGTCCCACAGAATATCATCTAGAGATGATATGTAGCATGATTAAGTTTGCTTCTTTATGCCCAGTAAAGAGCTGGTTTTCAGCTGTACATACAGCTAGTTGTTACATTTTAGGCTTCATACTAAAAATATTTATAGACACAAGATCAAGAATTACATCTGTGTTGATGGTTAGTATTTTGATTTCTATTTGGTAACGTAACATAAACTAAAACCTGTATACATTTTATTTAGTCTTGTTTCCATCGTTCTACAATGTAACTTGATGGTGATGATATTGTGGTAGTTAAGTCAACAGAATCCTTAGATATGGCAGTGCTCCATCTATTTTCTTATTTATACACATGAATTATTGTTTATTTATCCCTCATAAAATCCCAGGTTCCTTTGATAACAATTAGTACACAGATTTCCATTGTGCGATTATGACTAGGGTTTACCGGTACATTCCCTCAGGAACAGACCACACTATGTCAACATGGGCAAAAAAAATGTAGAAAAATAACCCAGTCACATTCTGACGCACTTGTCCGCCAACCTTTAATTAGTTTTAAAAGCATTTACTCATTTTGTATGCTCTCTTTGAACTTGTCTTACATAGTTCCTATAATATCGATTCAACTATGCAAACGTTCCGCCTGATTTATTCCCTTAAACCTTTAAATGGACCATTCAATGTGTATTGGGTGTTTAATGCAGACTCACACCTTTCCTATACCCCACTATTTGTGTGTATTCTGGGCCTTTTTCCCCTTAGTTAGCTGGGTTAAGTTTTTATACATATCACAGTTCATATCTGCTAAACACAAACAGTCAGTGATACAATGGATAACACCATTCTCTGGCTCTCAGAGCACACTCAACACTAAACACATTTCTACAGCTGATCAGAGTCTTGTTGAACTGTTCAGTAATTGATATTCAACTATCCCACGCTGATAACCAGTACCTACAGAACACAAATCAAATCTGCCATCCAAATGTCAAGATCTGCCATAGCAGTGTTCATGTTGAATCATATTTGAAGGAACAATACAAATTTCATAAAATAAAGACTATCCTCACATACACCCTTGCTGCTTTTACACTTGTCAAGTCTTAACTTCTTGTAAAATTAAAATAGAGATTTGAAGGCTACAGCTGGAGGGGGTGGGAGGGGACTTCCCTATAACCTAATAGAGGGGTGTCAGACATAAATATGAACCTATTACATTTGTTCTGATACCCCAATATTAGTAAAATGTTTTTGTGGACAAGAATCATGTACTGAAAAATTGTAACTGCACTGATACATTTTTCTCCTGAGAAGAATTGTCAAAATTTGAAAGTTAAATAATTAAAACCATATCCTGAGTATAATCTACTTGAAAAGTACAGTCATACAAATCTTTCATAAGTATCAACATGTACATATGTAGACAAGATTTATGTATTTAATTCCTAAGAAAGTTTAACATTTCATAAAAGGTATAGTATAAACCAAAACCAAGGGAACAGCTCAAGTTATCGAGTTGTATTGATTGAAATACATCCCATTAGTGCCTAAAATGTGAATTATATGTACTGACCTGCCAGGCTTGTTTTAATACCTTTATGTTACTGTTATATCTCTGTGTTTTTAGAGTCCTAATCTATTACTAGTGATGCTGCTCTTTCATTAAATTTGTCTGCCATTAGTTTGGCTTATACTACTTCAGCGATTTCCATTAACTGCTTGCTTACAATTAGTGCAGTATACCCACCTGAATCTGTTTGTTACGGGAGTTGTTTTCCTCCATCATGTCCTGAGTGGTATTGTGCAACTTCTCAAAGTCAGCCTGCAGCTGTAAAATGGCTGCCTGGGCTCGACTAAGAGCATCACTATCCTGTAAGGACATTACAAATTCAACATATAATGATAAATATCATGCAGTTAGTTAGATCATATATATGGAAATTTTCAATGTACTTCGTATCTGAAACAAGATCAACAAAATCATTACAAAATCTTCATAATTGTTGTATCAAATCACATATTATCATTATACAGTTACTGAATTATAAAATCTGCTTAAAGATAGAATGGATTATCTAATTAATCAATTTTCCTTTATTTGAATGACTTTGATATTTATATTTCTGTTCTCCTGATTTATTCCATAGATTTGGTACATCAAACTCAAGTTAGTTCATTGTTAAAAAGTACATGCATTAACAATAAGTAACCACTAAGCATAGCTAACATACTACAGGGGGTCGTCATCATAAAGGGTTCAAGCATGCATGCAGGACGCACTAAAAACAGGAACATAATTATCTCCAATAATTTTACACATTCTGAACAAGGAAAATTACAGCAATTATTATGGTTGAAATGAAAGTTACACTGAAAATAAGAGAAATACATGTAAACATGGTACTGCATCCAATCCTACTAATGATCCTGTCAAGTTATCACAGAAGGCCAATTGTTTCCTTACTATATAACTAATGGGGTATTAACACTGATAAGATCAATAATACACAAACACAACACAATATTTCATACCTGTACCAGAGTGAAATATAAGAATATGTCTTTAAGACTTGTTAAAAGTAAGGTATTTGTTAAAGTAAAAACAGTATGGGCACTGTATATCCTGATTCACTGGGTTAGGCTGCAGTGAGTCAGGATCCAGAATTCTAATCTTCCCTACACTCACTGCTCAGTGACTTTGCACCAAGTCTGAATTCAGAATTCTAACCTTCCGTAAACTCATTGGTCAGTGTAAGACTGCATTGAGTCAGGACAGAATTCTAACTTGCCCTAAACTCATTGCTCAGGGAATCTGCACTGAGTCTGAATTCAGAATTCTAACCTTCCCTTAACTCAGTGGTCAATGTATGACTGCATTGAGTCAGGACTCAGAATTCTAACCTTCCTTGTACTCACTGGTCAGTGTATGACTGCATTGAGTTAGGACTCAGAATTCTAACCTTCCTTGCACTCACTGGTCAATGTATGACTGCATTGAGTCAGGACTCAGAATGCTAACCTTCCTTGCACTCAGTGGTCAGTGATAGCTGATTGAGTTAGGATCCAGAATCCTAACTTTCCCTGCACTTAGTGATCAGTGTAAGGCTGTAATGAGTCAGAATCAACAAAGCTAACCAGAATCTACATGTATGTAGTGGAACAATACTACTCTGACAGAAATACATCAAGTTACCTTTTCATAAATGCCTGAATATTTTATAGATCTGAAACTTGATACACATCATACCTGTACATATTTCTTATCTCGCTGTATATCTGAGGGATCATATATACTAACTATATGTACAACATTGAAATCAGGGGGATGGTAGTAAAAGGTACATTAACACACCCAAGCTTCACTGTAGGCCTTATAACCAGGAAATATATCAACACCAATGGGTGGGATGATAAAATAGAGAAATCAGAACACATGCAAATCATATTTTGTAATTGGGAAACTTGTAGAGATCTACCATGTAGACACCACATATTGATATATACACTTTACATTAGTACAGGAGGTATGACAGTATGACCATTGAAGCAGAAGTGTAGAGAAAATTGTGATATAATAACTGAAACAAAAAATGTTTAGAAAAAGGGTGATATCACAATTGAAATGAAAGTGTAGAGAGAATAAAAAAATGATCTTTTTCACAGAACAGTGATAATCACATAAAATTTGAGGTGTAGGGAGGAGTTAGTATGACTACTACAGCCAATGAAACAGAGGAGTGTTAATTCTATATGTGTTGGGAGAAGTTTGTATGCCCATTGAAACAGAAGGGAACATGCTGTTGATTGATATTAACTACCTGGTCAACCTCAGGCATGGAACCCTTAGCCCCAGGAGAGTCTCTGACTACCTGAGTGAGCTGAGGGCCACTCCCTAGTCTCTGGGTAGTTCCAGGAAAGTCTCTACCTTCCTGGGGAAGCTGTGGGTCACCTCTTTGTTTGCTGGTAACCCCAAGAAGATCTCCAACTCCTGGGGTACTGGGCAGCCCATTTATATGGTAAATAGCCCCTGTAAGGGAGTCTAAGTCTGAAGAAGATGTGGCAGTTCCTTCTCTCATAGAACACTCTCCTGTCATGCAGTCACTTGAAACAGGACCTTGTGTATCTATTTCTATACCACCTGCTGACATGTTACCCTCCATTTGACTTTCCTCAAGTCTTTCCATCTTCAAACCCATGATTAAGGAAGCAATGCAAAATGGTTACAACATTGTTAGAATATATTCAGTACAGACTGAATTATTTTTTAACTATCATGCTGAAAGTTTAAAAAAGAAACATAAAAAACAATCTTGTGAAACAGAAATAACATCAGAACTGACCAAATCATTTGTTCCTGCAACCTTGGACCTGAGCAGTGCAAACTCAATGCCACGTGCCATTCTCTTGAGGTCATGATCCAGTGTGAAGATTTTATCACGCACATCCTGAAGTTGGTCATTCAGTACAACTGCAAGTGTTTGGATCTTGTTGTTTGCTTTTGTCAACTCTTCTGATGCCATCATTTTCACCTCATCTACCTGACCTTCGACATCGGATGAGCTCTTGGTAAAGATGTCCATGATCTCTTGTTCAAATTTCATATTAACCACGTTTTCTGTACTTGATGCCTTCTTTTTCTTTGTCTGTGGACTTTCTTTCTCTTTGGTTTCATCGGCCTCAGTTTTGACTTCAGGTTTCTCTGAGGAGGAAGATACTTTAGGACTTGGTGGTTTTGTTGGGATATCATTTTCACTGGAAGTGACATCTAGGTCTGCGAAAGGGTCTTGCCTATTCTCCATACCTGTCAACCATGATCTCAGCTCAGAAACATCACTCTGGTAGGCACTATCGTCCATCATCATGTCCTGAAAAACCTTTAGGCGATCCTCCAACACTGTGACCTTGTTGGACAGGGCATCAATGGCAATAGCCATGAGTTCCTGTTTGTTCAGTTCTTCGAGCATCTCCTGACTGTCGGTCTCTGTTGTCTCATCTCCACTTCCGCTCTCATCTGACTCCGACAATGGGCCAACCTTGTCACTACTTTGTTTACCTTTCTTTAATTTGCTCTTGGCTTTAAGAATAGCAAGACTATTAGAGGTAGTGCTACCATACTGGATAGATAGAAGAGAGAGGAAAGAGAAAACAGGAGCAGATTAGTGTGTATATTATTAGATATATAAATATACAGGCTACGTCATTATAAATATCATGTCCAGGAACTTAGGAGTCAAACAGAAAGAACAACACATACACAAGTTCAGGAAAACTTCCTCTATGAAGTAATGCCCTCCCAAAAAAAATAAATGAAGCCCTCCCAAAACAATAAATACAGCCCTCCCAAAACAATAAATACAGCCCTCCCAAAACAATAAATACAGCCCTCCTAAAACAATAAATACAGCCCTCCCAAAACAATAAATACAGCCCTCCTAAAACAATAAATACAGCCCTCCCAAAACAATAAATACAGCCCTCCTAAAACAATAAATACAGCCCTCCCAAAACAATAAATACAGCCCTCCTAAAACAATAAATACAGCCCTCCCAAAACAATAAATACAGCCCTCCCAAAACAATAAATACAGCCCTCCCAAAACAATAAATACAGCCCTCCTAAAACAATAAATACAGCCCTCCCAAAACAATAAATACAGCCCTCCTAAAACAATAAATACAGCCCTCCTAAAACAATAAATACAGCCCTCCCAAAACAATAAATACAGCCCTCCCAAGACAATATAATAAAGCCCTCCCAAAACAATAAATACAGCCCTCCCAAGACAATATAATAAAGCCCTCCCAAAACAATAAATACAGCCCTCCTAAAACAATAAATACAGCCCTCCCAAAACAATAAATACAGCCCTCCTAAAACAATAAATACAGCCCTCCCAAAACAATAAATACAGCCCTCCCAAAACAATAAATACAGCCCTCCCAAAACAATAAAATACAGCCCTCCCAAAACAATAAATACAGCCCTCCCAAAACAATAAATACAGCCCTCCCAAAACAATATAATAACAGCCCTCCCAAAACAATAAATACAGCCCTCCTAAAACAATAAATAAACAATAAATACAGCCCTCCCAAAACAATAAATACAGCCCTCCTAAAACAATAAATACAGCCCTCCCAAAACAATATAATACAGCCCTCCTAAAACAATAAATACAGCCCTCCCAAAACAATAAATACAGCCCTCCCAAAACAATAAATACAGCCCTCCCAAAACAATAAATACAGCCCTCCTAAAACAATAAATACAGCCCTCCCAAAACAATAAATACATAAATACAGCCCTCCTAAAACAATAAATACAGCCCTCCCAAAACAATAAATACAGCCCTCCTAAAACAATAAATACAGCCCTTCCAAAACAATAAATACAGCCCTCCTAAAACAATAAATACAGCCCTCCCAAAACAATAAAATACAGCCCTCCCAAAACAATAAATACAGCCCTCCCAAAACAATAAATACAGCCCTCCTAAAACAATAAATACAGCCCTCCCAAAACAATAAATACAGCCCTCCGAAAACAATATAATAAAGCCCTCCCAAAACAATAAATACAGCCCTCCCAAAACAATAAATACAGCCCTCCCAAAACAATAAATACAGCCCTCCCAAAACAATAAATACAGCCCTCCTAAAACAATAAATACAGCCCTCCTAAAACAATAAATACAGCCCTCCCAAAACAATAAATACAGCCCTCCTAAAACAATAAATACAGCCCTCCCAAAACAATAAATACAGCCCTCCTAAAACAATAAATACAGCCCTCCCAAAACAATAAATACAGCCCTCCTAAAACAATAAATACAGCCCTCCCAAAACAATAAATACAGCCCTCCCAAGACAATATAATAAAGCCCTCCCAAAACAATAAATACAGCCCTCCCAAGACAATATAATAAAGCCCTCCCAAAACAATAAATACAGCCCTCCAAAAACAATAAATACAGCCCTCCTAAAACAATAAATACAGCCCTCCCAAAACAATAAATACAGCCCTACCAAAACAATAAATACAGCCCTCCTAAAACAATAAATACAGCCCTCCCAAAACAATATAAGCCCTCCCAAAACAGCCCTCCCAAAACAATAAATACAGCCCTCCCAAAACAATAAATACAGCCCTCCAAAAACAATAAATACAGCCCTCCAAAAACAATAAATACAGCCCTCCAATAAATACAGCCCTCCCAAAACAATAAATACAGCCCTCCTAAAACAATAAATACAGCCCTCCTAAAACAATAAATATAGCCTTCCCAAAACAATAAATACAGCCCTCCCAAGACAATATAATAAAGCCCTCCCAAAACAATAAATACAGCCCTCCCAAGACAATATAATAAAGCCCTCCCAAAACAATAAATACAGCCCTCCTAAAACAATAAATACAGCCCTCCCAAAACAATAAATACAGCCCTCCTAAAACAATAAATACAGCCCTCCCAAAACAATAAATACAGCCCTCCTAAAACAATAAATACAGCCCTCCCAAAACAATAAATACAGCCCTCCCAAAACAATAAATACAGCCCTCCCAAGACAATATAATAAAGCCCTCCCAAAACAATAAATACAGCCCTCCTAAAACAATAAATACAGCCCTCCCAAAACAATAAATACAGCCCTCCTAAAACAATAAATACAGCCCTCCCAAAACAATAAATACAGCCCTCCCAAAACAATAAATACAGCCCTCCTAAAACAGCCCTCCTAAAACAATAAATACAGCCCTCCTAAAACAATAAATACAGCCCTCAAAACAATAAATACAGCCCTCCCAAGAAAATATAATAAAGCCCTCCCAAAACAATAAATACAGCCCTCCTAAAACAATAAATACAGCCCTCCTAAAACAATAAATACAGCCCTCCCAAAACAATAAATACAGCCCTCCCAAAACAATAAATACAGCCCTCCTAAAACAATAAATACAGCCCTCCTAAAACAAGAAATACAGCCCTCCTAAAACAATAAGCCCTCCTAAAACAATAAATACAGCCCTCCCAAAACAATAAATACAGCCCTCCTAAAACAATAAATACAGCCCTCCTAAAACAAGAAATACAGCCCTCCTAAAACAATAAATACAGCCCTCCCAAAACAATAAATACAGCCCTTCCAAGACAAGAAATACAGCCCTCCCAAAACAATAAATACAGCCCTCCCAAGACAATAAATACAGCCCTCCCAAAACAATAAATACAGCCCTCCCAAAACAATAAATACAGCCCTCCCAAAACAATAAATACAGCCCTCCTAAAACAATAAATACAGCCCTCCCAAAACAATAAATACAGCCCTCCTAAAACAATAAATACAGCCCTCCTAAAACAATATAATAAAGCCCTCCTAAAGCCCTCCTAAAACAATATAATAAAGCCCTCCCAAAACAATAAATACAGCCCTTCCAAGACAAGAAATACAGCCCTCCCAAAACAATAAATACAGCCCTCCCAAAACAAGAAATACAGCCCTCCCAAGACAATATAATAAAGCCCTCCCAAAACAATAAATACAGCCCTCCTAAAACAATAAATACAGCCCTCCTAAAACAATATAATAAAGCCCTCCCAAAACAATAAATACAGCCCTCCCAAGACAAAAAATACAGCCCTCCAAAAACAATAAATACAGCCCTCCCAAGACAATAAATACAGCCCTCCTAAAACAATAAATACAGCCCTCCTAAAACAATAAATACAGCCCTCCCAAAACAATAAATACAGCCCTCCCAAAACAATAAATACAGCCCTCCCAAAACAATAAATACAGCCCTCCCAAAACAATAAATACAGCCCTCCCAAAACAAGAAATACAGCCCTCCTAAAACAATAAATACAGCCCTCCCAAAACAATAAATACAGCCCTCCCAAAACAATAAATACAGCCCTCCCAAGACAATATAATAAAGCCCTCCCAAGACAATAAATACAGCCCTCCCAAGACAATATAATAAAGCCCTCCCAAAACAATAAATACAGCCCTCCCAAAACAATAAATACAGCCCTCCCAAAACAATAAATACAGCCCTCCTAAAACAATATAATAAAGCCCTCCCAAAACAATAAATACAGCCCTCCCAAGACAATAAATACAGCCCTCCCAAGACAATAAATACAGCCCTCCCAAGACAATAAATACAGCCCTCCCAAAACAAGAAATACAGCCCTCCCAAGACAATATAATAAAGCCCTCCCAAAACAATAAATACAGCCCTCCTAAAACAATAAATATAGCCTTCCCAAAACAATAAATACAGCCCTCCCAAGACAATATAATAAAGCCCTCCCAAAACAATAAATACAGCCCTCCCAAAACAATAAATACAGCCCTCCCAAAACAATAAATACAGCCCTCCTAAAACAATAAATACAGCCCTCCCAAAACAATAAATACAGCCCTCCTAAAACAATAAATACAGCCCTCCTAAAACAATAAATACAGCCCTCCTAAAACAAGAAATACAGCCCTCCTAAAACAATAAATACAGCCCTCCCAAAACAATAAATACAGCCCTCCTAAAACAAGAAATACAGCCCTCCTAAAACAATAAATACAGCCCTCCCAAAACAATAAATACAGCCCTCCTCAAACAATAAATACAGCCCTCCTAAAACAATCCTCCCAATACACCTAAAATCAAGCTCTCAACATCACTGATGTAAACTTTCAGGCTTTGACAACAATTTTCCACTGAGATATAAAGAACTAGTGAAACTTGTCTGAAGACTCTTGCCGTAAACTTACATACTTGTCTAAAATCCTTCAAAGCCATTCTGAAGAAATTGCTTTTCTTAGAACTTAAGTTATGGTAAAAGACTTGTGCTAAAATCTTCTATATATTTGTTTCAAGATAAAATGACAATTTTCTTCCTAACAAGCTTACTGAAGATGTTTCTGAATTACCCCCTACAACTCTCTAGTGTTGTTAAAGGGTTTGCTCCAGACTACTACATCCTCTTGGAAAAGTGAATGATTTCAGAATTGCAGAACAGATGGACTTTTTCACTACCTAATTTGCCTGGACAGGACTAAGTAAGATAGCCATGGTTACATATCATACACAAACAGTACTGAAATGAGTCCTGGAGCGGCTCCTGATCAAAACATTTAGATTGTGTCAGTACATTAAATAAAACATGCTGGTGTGCAGTACATTTCTGGTTAAGTATTCACTGGTGCATAACATAGTTACATGAAGTTCACACATTAATGAATTGTTAGATATGATTCATCAGGAAAATAACACATTAAGTCTAGGAGTATTTAACAAACCATGTAATTATTAGAACTAGCTTTTTACATGGTAAATGCAAGGTCATTTTAAATGTTAAAGCAGTAGCCAATATGAGTTAGACTATACAATGTTACATGACAGTGTTAAGAGGCAGGCTCCACACAGTGATTGGAGCTGAGGTGTGGTGGCTTACCTTATCTCTAGCCTGTTGTAAGGCTTCCAGATCAGCCTTCATCTTGGCAAGTTGCTCCAGCAAGTCTGAGGACAGATCTGAAATACACATTCCAAAGGTTCGTATTACTATCCAAGTCAAAAACCAAGACAGCAGAGGGGGCAGACAATGTCAATAATGTCTTAATCATTCATTACAGAATTCTGTAATATCATAAAGAAATCAGTTATGTGGTGTATCATGAGTTCTTACGCAGGAAAAAATTACATAGAACAAAACTATGTAAATGTAAAATATAAACACATTCCTGCATACAATATGGCATAAATTTCTACTCACTGAGATTGTCAAGATCTGTCTTGTCCATCTTGTTCTTAATTTCCTCCTGTCAAACAAAAACCAGTTCCATGATGTTATCAAAACTACGATAGATACCTTTGAGAGGATAATTTATCTTGATCTTGGCCAGAGAAAATAAAATGGTTCTCAGAGACAATTTAATAATGATACACTAGCAACATTAAACCTGTTTTTTAAGGAGATAGTAATATTTCTGAAACTTCATAACCTACTGTACATCAACAGTTCAGATAAATTACATAACTACAGATAAATTAAATTATATAACTACAGATAAATTACATAACTACAAATGGTTTAAGTTTTTACCTCAAGGACCTCAACTCTCTTCTCCAAGGAATTGTGGGACTCATTAAGTTTTCCAAGAGTTTCAAGAACCTCCAATAGCTGGTCTGATGGACCGGCACTTGACGAACTCATACGGGTACTGGGACGTGAGGACGTAGGTCTGGAAACCTGAGAAGATAACGGACATTATGACATCAGTCAAACCATTTTGGCACAAATATTGGCCAAAATAAAGCAGTCCCCTACACTGTCACAAATACAGGTAAAGATAAATCAATACCTTGCAACTCCATACTGTCACACATTCAGATAAATATAAACCCATACTTTATGGCTCCATACTGTCACACATTCAGATAAATATAAACCCATACTTTATGGCTCCATACTGTCACAAATACAGGTAAAGATAAACCCATACTTTATGGCTCCATACTGTCACAAATACAGGTAAATATAAACCCATACTTTATGGCTCCATACTGTCACAAATACAGGTAAATATAAACCCATACTTTATGGCTCCATACTGTCACAAATACAGGTAAATATAAACCCATACTTTATGGCTCCATACTGTCAAAAATACAGGTAAATATAAACCCATACTTTATGGCTCCATACTGTCAAAAATACAGGTAAATATAAACCCATACTTTATGGCTCCATACTGTCAAAAATACAGGTAAATATAAACCCATACTTTATGGCTCCATACTGTCAAAAATACAGGTAAATATAAACCCATACTTTATGGCTCCATTCTGTCACAAATACAGGTAAATATAAACCCATACTTTATGGCTCCATACTGTCACAAATACAGGTAAATATAAACCCATACTTTATGGCTCCATACTGTCACAAATACAGGTAAATATAAACCCATACTTTATGGCTCCATACTGTCACAAATACAGGTAAATATAAACCCATACTTTATGGCTCCATACTGTCACAAATACAGGTAAATATAAACCCATACTTTATGGCTCCATACTGTCACAAATACAGGTAAATATAAACCCATACTTTATGGCTCCATACTGTCACAAATACAGGTATATATAAACCCATACTTTATGGCTCCATACTGTCACAAATACAGGTAAATATAAACCCATACTTTATGGCTCCATTCTGTCACAAATACAGGTATATATAAACCCATACTTTATGGCTCCATACTGTCACAAATACAGGTAAATATAAACCCATACTTTATGGCTCCATACTGTCACAAATACAGGTATATATAAACCCATACTTTATGGCTCCATACTGTCACAAATACAGGTAAATATAAACCCATACTTTATGGCTCCATACTGTCACAAATACAGGTCAAAATAAAGCCAATAAACCTAGTTTAAATGAAAGCAAAATGAGGGGTAATTAAGGTGTTACAGGCCTTAAATTTCGTACAAGAATATACTCTTATAGTGGCAATCAATCACAAATTGAAGTCAACATAAACAAAATACAAAATGTATACAGTAAATTAATTGATCAAATATATTTCTAAATAATCACTTGATTCTAAGATCTCCAGGTTAATGGCTAAACTGTTGAATAGTTGTACTGTGTAACATCATTATCACAGGCACCTATCTATCAGTAAATATTGACCATCTCTGTAATCCCTGATATTACTAAGCAGCTGGTGATTCCTGCTGTAATATTGACTGACCACTATACCCTCTAGGCGGTGATGACACTGCTATAGAATGTGTATCTCTAATACAGGACAGAAAAGTGCAGGAGACAGAATAAGAACATGCCATGTGGTCCCAAAGGACCACAAGTGTTACATACAGGCTTGATTCACATTATTAACCATGCTCCTATTGAAGAATTTCAATTGAAAATTTATAAGTAGTTAACGAGAAAGATGCTGCAAAATATAGATCATGCTACTTGATGAGTGGGCATTATATAACAAAAGGTTAAAGTGACATAATCAGGGTAAGATGATTTGTAACACATTCTTGATGTGTCAAAATATAGTATGTTTCTGCAGTTGATCTGTAAGCAGAGCTATGCAAAGCCTTAAGTTAGAGTTATACACCGTCGTTCTTAATCAATCGTTTTTCAGGCGTTCAGTTTCTTTCTGCTTTAAGAAATCAGGAAATAATTACTGGTATCATATTGATCAGAAGATCATGTTTCCTAACACTTGTCCTTGGGGTATAATTAAGTCAACATGTAACCTAGCTAAAATCATTAAGTTTACCTAGACAAGTATATACTTCCTACAGTCCCTGCCATTAGGACGTCATTGCCTGCACACTGTTGCAAGTTCAATGAAGAAACACTGATTTGTAACCCTAGTGTATTACAATAGCTGGTCTATACATCTGAAGGTTAGGAAGAGGAAAATCATAGTTAATGCTATTCAATGAAGACACAAACACAGAGTCAATGTTCTCTATTGGTTAATAATACATGAGTAGAACTGTTGGTAGTCTGGAGACACACAGACATTTTCATGAAGAACACACAAATCAAAGTCTCTATCAAAACAAGGGTATTATGTAACAAATATTTCTTTGGTGTAAGTCTTATGTATAATGTAAACAAAAAATATGTCACTTTCAACACTTTCAAAGTGATATGGTCACCATCATCAGAACAAAATAAGCACTAAGATAATGGTTTTCAAATGAACAGTGACTGAAGTTCATAATTTAAAAACGTATTTCAATAATTCAACAAAGAAAAAACTGTAAACTAATCAACTTTAAAACTCTTACAAAAGGTGCATTAAAAAGTTAAGAGGCTTGTAAAACAACACATTTTTATCTTGAAAATGACAATAAGAACAATACATTACACAGTGCATTTTTCTTTTCCTCAAAAAAGAAAAGAATCAAAATGTTCAAAGTTCATTGAATTCACACACCTGGTAAAAAAAAAATTGGTAGTAATTAAGTTGTGTGTAAAAATCGACCTTAACTGTAACATGACTTATTGCTACCCTTCATTAACAATCGTCCTAAACGACTTATTGCTACCCTCGATAAACAATCAACCAATACATGACTTATTTCTACCCCTTTATTTATATCAACTATAACATGACGTACTGCTACCTCCTGATTTATAATCAACTATAACATGACATACTGCTACCTCCTGATTTACAATCAACTATAACATGACATACTGCTACCTCCCCATTTCCAATCAACTATAACATGATGTACTGCTACCTCCTGATTTATAATCAACTATCACATGACGTACTGCTACCTCCTGATTTATAATCAACTATAACATGATGTACTGCTACCTCCTGATTTATAATCAACTATCACATGACGTACTGCTACCTCCTGATTTATAATCAACTATAACATGATGTACTGCTACCTCCTGATTTATAATCAACTATCACATGACGTACTGCTACCTCCTGATTTATAATCAACTATAACATGATGTACTGCTACCTCCTGATTTATAATCAACTATAACATGACGTACTACTACCTCCTAATTTATAATCAACTATCACATGACATACTGCTACCTCCTGATTTATAATCAAATATCACATGATGTACTGCTACCTCCTGATTTATAATCAACTATCACATGACGTACTGCTACCTCCTGATTTATAATCAACTATAACATGATGTACTGCTACCTCCTGATTTATAATCAACTATCACATGACGTACTGCTACCTCCTGATTTATAATCAACTATAACATGATGTACTGCTACCTCCTGATTTATAATCAACTATAACATGACGTACTACTACCTCCTAATTTATAATCAACTATCACATGACATACTGCTACCTCCTGATTTATAATCAAATATCACATGACGTACTGCTACCTCCTGATTTATAATCAACCCCCCCCCCACTCCTTCCCCTATTGATTTATAATCACACACCCCCCCTCCTTCCCCTATTGATTTATAATCACACCCCCCCCCCCCCCCCCCCCGTCCTTCCCCTATTGATTTATAATCACCCCCCTGTCCTTCCCCTATTGATTTATAATCAACCCCCCCCCCCCCCGTCCTTCCCCTATTGATTTATAATCACCCTCCTTCCCCTATTGATTTATAATCACACCCCCCCCCCTCCTTCCCCTATTGATTTATAATCACCTTACATGATATGCCTTTTTGTTATATTCTTTTTTTTTTACATACATTTAACTCTGACAAGTTAATGTTGTTTTCTGTGTTATAGATTAAAATTTGTACTGTACAACAATCAATTAACTGGCATGCCTTGACGTCATGTGCACATCAATTTATACATGCATGCATACAAACCTTTTTACGACGCTAAAAAGAAAAGGCAAACATCCTTTATAACAAAGCGGACAAATGGAAGAACTGATATTAAATACTTCAGGTACTATAATATTAGACCAAATTTTGTTACATTAAACAGTCAGTCATTTACCAAAGACTGAAAGGTGGTTCTTGCAGCAAATGCATTTATTTATCTGTACTTTTAGAGTAATTTTCAAACATATTGTCAGATGACAACATTCTGCTATGTACTCTCATATATACACATGAGAACTTCTGTTACTGTCATTGTATAACATAATTCTTCGTTCAAAGTCTTGAATATCAAAACCAGTGTTAAAAATACAGACTACCTATATATAAAGCTTGGAATGGTGGGTAAGCCTTTACCACTAAGCTGTTGGGTATATATTTCAGAGAATGTATTTGTATGAGCGGTGTAACATGTTGATACTAAATATAATATACCTAATATGAGTACCTACAGCCGTACTTCTCAGTGTCAAACAATAGACACATTATCACTAACATGATTAACAGGTCAGGCCTAAATCCTTATCAGACAGGTGTGTTAGGTTATTAAGATATGCACTGACCATGTATATTTATACTGCTGTGACGTAGCCACCATAAACTTCAAGTTTAAAATGGGTGAAATTGAAATTTCCACTCATAATAGCCACACAAATTTTCTTGTTACAGTAAATTCAAATATATTCATGAGATTTGCTGTAGAAACGCCACACCAAACTTTCTTTATTTTGTTACTACAGTGCTATATTCATGAGATTTTTACTGATGTGATAAACTGTCAGATCTATTAAGATAAGGCATTGAAAGCAATTATGTTCCTGACATTAGATGACACGAGTCAAGCTGGGCTCTGCGTCATAAAGTATTGCTATAATACTGGTCACTATAGAGTTCCGTCAGAAGGGACCATTCACGTAATGACAACAACAGAGGTGACCCTGACATGGACAATCCTCACCAAGGATTCCTCTAGGGAATACACACAAGCCTGCCTATCATTAGCACTTATATCTATAGTTTCATTTGATATGAATATTAAAATCCATTAAAGACACATTTTCAGCAGTCAATATATATCTATGAGGGTATTCCATCCACACTACACTTAATGGTTAAAGAGAATGGTGTCTGAATACATTTACTTAATTACCATCTATATCAATAGGAAGTTCTCAGAGGAAAAATTTACATATATGGAACATTATATTGGAAACTGATCATGTAAGCCTCGTTAGACTAGACACATCATTCTAAGACTGGACAAAGGACACAACACTTTGATGGTCATCAATCGCACTAATGGTTACAGGTTCAATAACATCGCTCTGATCTCTGCATATTTATAGTGATGATGAAATTAATCAGGCCTACCCAATGTCACATGTTAATGTGAAGTGAAAGACTTGGCAATCATGAACACATGTCAAAGGGTTGACTTATAGCCAATCTAGACTTTACAGGGACACATGAATATACATTTGATTTGATATTTTGTCACATTAAGTTGTACAGGAGTTAACCGAGTAATTTGTCACACAGTTGTACAGGGATTTGTCAAGATATTTTGTCACACAAATGTACGGCAATTTGACAAGGTGTTTTGTAACACAACTATAATAGGATTTGATTATATATCTCCTCAAGTAATGAGTTTTGCAAGAATTAGACTCAATAATTTGTCACAGTTTAACAGCATATGAATAGGTATTTATGTCACAAAATTTTACAGGGATTGGACTACATATTTTACCACATAGTTGTACAAGGGTTCACACAGAATTCAGGTACTTTGCCACATGGCTGTACAGGATTTTTGTTCATTGCATTGGATACTGACTAAGTGACTATAACAACTTGAACATTGACATAATAGAAAAGGCCCAATATATGTGTGACCTTTAAGGGTAAATGTAATAATGATAAAAGTGTTACATTGAAATGGAACTGTTAATGATTATTTTTAAAACCTGACCTTGACCTTTTAATATGGTGACCTTGACCTATAGTATGACAACTACTCACTTGATTCTTGCCATCTTTACTTCAGGGTGTCAAAAGAAATTCTCTCCAATAAAACATTTCAAATTCACCTTGACCTTTGACCTTATGACCTTAATGACCTGTGGCCGAGTGACTTCTGATTTTCTTTTAGTCTATTATGCTTCATAATGTCATAATAGCAGATATTTACCATTGTCATTCAGATATATATTTTTAGCTGTATATTCCCATTTCTACTTTAAAGTAATGGTGACTATGACCTTTGACCTACGAACACCAAATACAATCGAGAGCTAGGTCTTCCTAAAATGAAGCAATGGAATTAGTTGAAGAGTAATCATCCAATCCAATTTGTAAGAGTAACAATGAACTTTGACCTTAGGACCCAGAAACCACTCTAAAAAAGCCTTTAAAGGCAAGTTTGAGAGCAGTTTGCCTAACAGAAATTCACATCTTTAAATATATATATATAAAAATACTAGAGGGCATCTGCAATGCCAGACTTTGATAAATGTTTGCTATGCCACCTTTAGAAAGGGCTTGATTTTCATACTGAGAAAAAAATTCCAGTAAAGTACAAAACTGACATCTTTCAAGACAATCTTTATGAATTAAATATCATTGGTACAGAAATGTACATTTTTAACAAACCATTAAATAAAAATCATTTCAACTGAATTTTAATTGACAGCATTATCAGATATGGTTTAATTAACATAAAAAAACCACATGTGTTAAGTAAGCTGATCCTTGTGATCTGATGTTTTCACCTTTGGGCCCAACCCCTGTAAGTAGATAGAGATTCCTTCACTGCAGTAGTTTGTCAGCCATAACTACGCAGATCCACAATCCTAAACAAACAATTGGTAAACATTTATTAAACATTTATTGGCTGTTTTTATGTGTGAGATTTGTTATTAGTTTCCAAGTCCACACAATGTGTGTAGTTCACCATGACACTTACTGGTTCTGTCTGACTAGACATCTCTATGACAACACGTTCCTGAGGCTGAAGACTTTCCCAGTCACGCTTCACACCATTGAGAGCATCCTCGAGTCCAGGCCATGTGACAAACAATGAGAGCTCTTCTGTAGTGGGAAGTGTGCCAAACTTCTCATTTAGGTCTTTCTGTGACATCAAGAAAACAATAACCATATACTGAGTTTTATAATGGATATCACCTTGGCAGCTTGATGGTGATTACTTTGTCTTGTGATAGAAATTGCATTATTGATGATCAAGTTTATTTGTTATTGGTACACTAGCAATAAGTACATGATAGCATCCAGCTACAATGTCATCATGTCAGCCAATCATAGATCATCAATTAGTCAAAATAGCATTTAGACAATGCCTTTTGACAGTTGGGCTAATTGATACAAATTTATTTAACAGTGCTGTTGAAGTAGTTTTACAAAATTATTAATTGAATAGCTAAAATAGTCAAATCATCATTAAGAATCACTCCAACCAAATAGCAGCTAGAATAGATTATAATTAGCTTGTAAAATATATATTATGTGATTAAAGTTGGTTGAAAAATTAAACACAAAGCTAATTTTTCAAGTTTTTGATGATAATGTATTTCAAAGAGGAAACACTATGTTTCATGACTTTCAACAATCTAAAATTACACAACATAATGAATTGTCTATGATATGAAGTAATATACAGGAATTTGATTATATTGGAGACAACAAGTCGCTTGATTTTATATTTTGTAAATAACACACAGGATATCTGACAGCAAATATGACAACAAGCCTGCAAATGAAGTTGACCTGTTTAAACATGAGGGAGAGATCTTATAAATGGTGAGAATCATGTGTTAGAATTTCTTCCAATCATTTGATGGTAGAAACAAACTTGATAAATAATACATGCATACAATCATTGTATGGTTATACAAAGCTGGTGTATGCAGTGTTACAATATGTATTGGAAAGCGATACAAGTATAACATACAGACATTGTTTGTTGAAAAAGGTAGAAATGAATAGCAAGTATACTGTAGATTGTAGAATTGATTGATAGCGTGTACAGACACCTTTACCGATTCATATATATTGTGCTGTGCATAGACAATCGATCAATGAAGAATGATCATTTATTCAACGACATGCTTATGGAAAATTTCATTGTAAAAAAATTGATACTGGTGTGTATAATAAAGTTGAAAAAGGTGTGTTAGGTAAAGTTGATATGGGTGTGTATGATAAGTTGATACAGGTGTGTATGATAAAGTTGATACAGGTGTGTATGATAAAGTTGATTCAGATATGTATGATAAATTTGATACTGGTGTGTATGATTAAGTTGGTACAGGTGTGTATGATTAAGTTGATACAGGTGTGTGTGATAAAGTTGATTTAGATATATATGAAAAAGTTGATACTTGTGTATATGATAAAATTGATACAGGTGTGTATGATAAATTTAATACAGGTGTGTATGATAAAGTTGATACAGATATGTATGATAAAGTTGATACAGGTGTGTATGATAAAGTTGATACAGATATGTATGATAAAGTTGATACAGGTGTGTATGATAAAGTTGATACAGATGTGTATGATAAAGTTGATACGGGTGTGTATGATAAAGTTGATACAGATATATATGATAAAGTTGATACAGATATGTATGATAAAGTTGATACAGGTGTGTATGATAAAGTTGATACAGATATGTATGATAAAGTTGATACAGGTGTGTATGATAAAGTTGATACAGATATATATGATAAAGTTGATACAGATATGTATGATAAAGTTGATACAGGTGTGTATGATAAAGTTGATACAGATATGTATGATAAAGTTGATACAGGTGTGTATGATAGTAGTGAATAACAAGACCTCTTACAATACAACTCTCACAAAACATTAATATTGTTTAACACATTACAAGTAACTTTACTACACTGTTTAATTACCTTGATGTTGTAATTTGGGACCTTGCCTAGAGTCTATAACACACATATATATACTCTAATGCACATCATCAACAAAACTCAGAAGATTAATTCAAACAATGCAGCTAAGGATTTACAAGCTTTAACTATTCAGGATGTCAGAGGACATTAATTATCTTTGTTATGAAAAAGACTTTGTTTTGAGACCTTATACTCAACATTTATTACTGCCTGTGTTTTATTTTGCTAATGTCTAGAAACAATGGTGTCCTACTTATACAATTACTCACAACATTATTTTCCAGATCATTCAGTCGTGAAAGGATGTCCTGCAGATTCAGCTGTAAAACAAATTTAAGAAGTGTAAAAATGACATGTTTCATTATTGAAACAAAAAATTACTATTTTACCTCTGACAACATGCAATCTATGAACATTTTTTTCATCTTATAAGTTCATCCTATAAGTCTCATCACTCTGATCTGAGTAATAAGTTTCCCCTCTCCCATACTGGCTGTCAGTTTCCCCTCTCCCATACTGGCTGTCAGTTTCACCACTCCGATACTGGCTGTCAGTTTCCCCTCTCCCATACTGGCTGTCAGTTTCACCACTCCGATACTGGCTGTCAGTTTCCCCTCTCCCATACTGGCTGTCAGTTTTACCACTCCCATACTGGCTGTCAGTTTCACCACTCCCATACTGGCTGTCAGTTTTACCACTCCCATACTGGCTGTCAGTTTCCCCTCTCCCATACTGGCTGTCAGTTTCACCACTCCGATACTGGCTGTCAGTTTCCCCTCTCCGATACTGGCTGTCAGTTTTACCACTCCCATACTGGCTGTCAGTTTCACCACTCTCATACTGGCTGTCAGTTTCCCCTCTCCCATACTGGCTGTCAGTTTCACCACTCCCATACTGGCTGTCAGTTTCCCCTCTCCCATACTGGCTGTCAGTTTCACCACTCCGATACTGGCTGTCAGTTTCCCCTCTCCCATACTGGCTGTCAGTTTTACCACTCCCATACTGGCTGTCAGTTTCACCACTCTCATACTGGCTGTCAGTTTCACCACTCCTATACTGGCTGTCAGTTTCACCACTCCGATACTGGCTGTCAGTTTCACCACTCCCATACTGGCTGTCAGTTTCACCACTGCCATACTGGCTGTCAGTTTCACCACTCCCATACTGGCTGTCAGTTTCACCACTCCCATACTGGCTGTCAGTTTCACCACTCCCATACTGGCTGTCAGTTTTACCACTCCCATACTGGCTGTCAGTTTCACCACTCCCATACTGGCTGTCAGTTTCACCACTGCCATACTGGCTGTCAGTTTCACCACTCCCATACTGGCTGTCAGTTTCACCACTCCTATACTGGCTATCAGTTTCACCACTCCGATACTGGCTGTCAGTTTCACCACTCCCATACTGGCTGTCAGTTTCACCACTCCCATACTGGCTATCAGTTTCACCACTCCCATACAGTTACTCACATATATAAGTTTCATCACACCTATACTTAAAAGCTATAAATTCCATACCTCCCATATATACTTGCTGTAAGTTTCATCACTCCCAACAGCTCTAATTTTCATCACTCCAAAATATACAAGCTATTAATTTTATCCCTCCTATATCTGCTATGAATATTTGTGGTCATGACCTGCCATTATCATTATATTACACTTCATCAGTTCACATTGATTTACCTGCCTAAGTAAGCCAAGAGAAAAAGTGACCTAGTTCAGTTGGGTCTATAGGCTACACACATTACATACATATAATACATATCATTCCCGAGTAACATTAAAGTAATTGTGATGATAATACATTTAAATATCAATATTTCAGTTAAATGAATGACATGTATTGACAGCACCACCATTTAAACATAATTATACTGACAAAAGGCAGAGAGCACCATTAACTATACAATGGCATACTTATGTATAGGTCGTATATTATGAAAAAACTTAAAAAGAATGATCAATTACAGGCACGCCCTTTATAACCAGACTAAGGTTTTGCCTTGTAACAAATGAAATTATGAAAAATATTGTCTAGTGATATTTTTGAAAACTAAATTGAAATGGTTACTTACTTATCTACATTAAACATAATTGTTGTCTCATAATAATATTGCAAACTTAACGAGCCAACCAACAATGAAACAGTCCAGAGAACTACTGTGATATTCTGACTAGGACAAATTACCATATCACCCCTGGAAATAAGCACCCTTCCCACTTCTGTGTCTATCAGGAGTTGCATGCAATTAAGCTCCCCCACCAAAAATGTGAAAGAAAAGAACTTTGTTCTTCTTCCAGATTAACAGAAACTCCTCAAAAAAAAAAAAAAAAAACCCAGAAAATTACAAAGATCCTGTTTGTATAATGTTTAAAACATTGTTTGGATTGACAAACCATACTGAGATAATTATTCCTGAAACAGACTAATATCGTCTAACCTAATGTGTTTCGACAAAGTTGCTGTTTCAGGCAGCTGTTTCTTGGTCACAGTTTCAGTGCTGGTAAAATACATGTCTACAACTAACTTTCAATAAGGTAAACCATGAAACACTATAAATTAGTAAAGAATGAAGCCACTCACCCCATCAAGCTGGTTCTTCATGTCCTCATTGGCCTTCTTTAATTCATCCATTCTTTTCATCAAATCATCAAAAAGAGACATCAACTGGAAAAGGGAAAAATGACATTTCAGGATTACTTCAATTTTCCTTTGCTAGTACTGTGGTATTTCCATTTTTGCTAATGCTTTATTTGTAGATGGTCTAGAACATTATATAATTATTGTCAAGCTTTAAAGAACATTTCAAGACATTTTAAGGTCAACAGGCATCACTGTGACATCAAGCAGGGAAATAATGATAAATAAATCAATCATGTGTCAATGGAATAATTTTCCTCTCCCAAAACATCAAAAAAAACCCTTCAAAATATTAGTTTACTCATACATATATAGTAACAATGAAAGCATACTTATTTCCTCATTGTCATCAGATGATTTGGCCTTATACCTTAAGATGTAGAAATAATATCAAATGCTATGCTATTCCCTTGAATCATCTTCCTGTGTTACTCTCAGAATTTCAATGTTATAGAACCTCAGGGCCTATTCCATTTCAATAAAAAGTCTAGAGAATTTGAGAGAAAAAAATCATCATTCCTTACTACAATGTAAATGTATTCCAAAATAAAAAACATGGCAAGATTTTACCATCCAAAGTTAAAACGACAAGAAACTGCTGTGACAACAATAAAAACTGGTCAGTTGACTTTCAAGAATTGAGTTGAAGAGCTTGCTAAGAGTAAGTTGGGATTAAGCTACATTTGTTAAATACTGCACTCCAAAGTGGATTAAGTGTCCATCCATAATGTTGATTCTAATAACATCAAAGAGGTACATGGTATCCCAGTTATCATAATATCAGATATTATGATATCCCGCTAATTATGATCATTTTATCATGTACCAAATATTCCTTACATCTATTTAGATTAAGCAAAGAAAATTGTTTATTGTGATATAGTACAACATGAGATATCCAATAATGACATTTTTCTGTCCATATTAAATTTTGTAAGCTACAGAGTTAGTGTCTATATTTGACACCTGGGATGTTCCTTGTGACACTAATTATCTGCTAATTTATTGCACAAGTTGCTCCGTCTCACCTGTTACATTTAAGTTTTACCCCTAGTTGTTGGTAAACAATACAGATCAAGTCTTCTACTTGTGCTAGTCGATGTCAACCAAAACATTAACAGTCAGTACTGATTACATAAATAAGACATTAGGCCAAAACAGAACAAGAAAGACATTGATAAATGAGTAGACTTGCTACTAAATTTTTCGAACAGCCATCTTGTATCACTTTGGAACAGTGCCGGTCGAAATTTTATGAATATTAAAATGTGATATTCTCTCCCAGAAATCCAGTTTGATATCTTGTGTTCTAAATGCAAGAGCATGGTGCCGGAAATCAGCTGATATTCACAAGAGTGTTGTCTTTACACTGTGTAGTGATTTGTTTGTGATATATGACATATTAATTCATATAAATGCATTTACAACGAAACTAGTTAAAAGATTTATTAAATCGTCTAAGAGTATTATGTGTTTTTATCAGTAAAACACAGCTTAGATAGCACACCTTGCTTGACATGTAAAAAATATTGATGTTTTTGGAAGCCAGGTTACAAAGTTTCTTATCAAAACCAGCAAATCATGATAATCAATAAAATGGTGAAGATTCATTTAACATGTATACCAAACTGAATATTGCATTACTGTAATTCTTAAAAACAAACCTAAAAATAAAAGTTAAAACTATCTTGCATCAGATACGAACATGCTTACAACCATTAAATATACATCAATCAGCATTGATGTAGGTAATACTACATGTTGATCTTAATGATAACAAAATGCAATTGTCCAATAATATCATATTGCTTTTCATCTCGGTTTCATCTATAGGTTTGAATATTAACTTCCAGTTCTCAAGACCTGAATAGCCTGCTTGATTATTATAATGTGCCAGTTATTATAATTTTATAATTCATATATCATAATATTTCTATCTGGAAAATAGAATATAATAATAAATGGGTTTAACTATTACATTTAGCCTAAACTTCAGTCAGTAAGTCACAGCCTCGAAAGTAAAACTAGAAATTGTTGCTAACAATTTTGCGGGCTTTTCACTTCTTTGGTGACAATCTACCGGAAAACAAAACATTAAATTCATCGGAAGGATGTTCTGCATCGATCTGAAGAAGAAAATTTCAAGAAAATTCAAAATTGAAAAAACAGAAAAAAAATTGTTAAATTTTGAAAACTTTACCCCACAGCGAGCTTTTTTATTTGACACATTTTGCATTAATATGGCTGACAAAAACTTAGATATGAAAATTCTCTACAAATAATATTATTGCACAAACTCTGTACAATCAATGGTTTTCGAGATAGTGCCATTTTTAAGTTTTTAACTTATGACGTCATGGCGGCCATATTGGATTTTTGACCAACTTAAAAAATCGGCATCGACAACTTCATATACGTATCTACAAATAGGTGAATAGACAGTATGTCTAGCTTTTACAGTTTAAAAGATTACGAACCCACAAAATTGGAATAATAATAATAATAATAATAAGAAACATAACAAAAACAATAGGTCTTTTCACCAGTTGGTGAAAAGCCCTAAATATGTGTTTATTTGTAGGTACTAGTATGTCAAACATTTGGCTAAACAAACATCAAGCTAACACTGCTTAGTTTCAGATATATAGCTGAATCTAAGTAAACAAATTCCAGCTGTTATACTGACATCTTTATGTCTGAGGGTTTCACTAAGGCTGTCTGGCTCAGTATGATGTCTACTTAAGGTGGTGATAGGAAACTTTACCTTCTTATATTGATCAGTTTTGAAGCAAAAACCAGAGACATGTATTACATAACAATGAATACATCAACCTTAAGTTATCTAGTAAGTTGTAACACTTGATAGAGTCTAATGGCCTTGACACTAGCAATGTCCTACTCTATTGTACCGTACTGTTTATCTGTGACACTAGGAATGTCCTACTGTATTGTACCATTCTGTTTATCCCCGACACTAGGAATGTCCTATTGTATTGTACAGTTCTGTTTATCCCCGACACTAGGAATGTCCTGCTGTATTGTACCTTATTGTTTATCTGCGACAGTAGGAATGTCCTACTCTATTGTACCGTACTGTTTATCTGTGACACTAGGAATGTCCTACTGTATTGTACCATTCTGTTTATCCCCGACACTAGGAATGTCCTACTGTATTGTACAGTTCTGTTTATCCCCGACACTAGGAATGTCCTACTGTATTGTACCATACTGTTTATCTGTGACACTAGGAATGTCCTACACTATTGTACAGTTCTGTTTATCCTTGATGCTAGCAATGTCCTACTCTACAGTACCATACTGTTTATCTGTGACACTAGGAATGTCCTACTGTATTGTACCTTACTGTTTATCTGCAACAGTAGGAATGTCCTACTCTATTGTACCGTACTGTTTATCTGTGACACTAGGAATGTCCTACTGTATTGTACCATTCTGTTTATCCCCGACACTAGGAATGTCCTATTGTATTGTACAGTTCTGTTTATCCCCGACACTAGGAATGTCCTGCTGTATTGTACCTTACTGTTTATCCCCGACACTAGGAATGTCCTACTCTAGTGTACCATACTGTTTATACTTAATAATAGCAATGTCCTCCTTTATTATACCATACTGTTTATCTGTGACACTAGGAATGTCCTACTCTATTGTATCATACTGTTTATCTACGACACTAGGAATGTCCTACTCAATTGTACTGTATTGTTCATCTGCAAAACTAGGAATGTCCTACTCTATTGTACCGTACTGTTTATCTGCGACACTAGGAATGTCCTACTGTATTGTACCATACTGTTTATCTGCGACACTAGGAATGTCCTACTCAATTGTACCGTACTGTTTATCTGTGACACTAGGAATGTCCTACTCTATTGTACCGTACTGTTTATCTGCCAAAGTAGGAATGTCCGACTCAATTGTATCGCACTATTTATCTGTCAAACTAGGAATGTCCGACTCAATTGTATCGCACTGTTTATCTGTGACACTAGGAATGTCCGACTCAATTGTATCGCACTGTTTATCTGTGACACTAGGAATATCCTTCTCTATTGTACCTTACTGTTTATCTGTGACACTAGGTATGTCCTCCTCTATTGTACCGTACTATTTATCTGTGGCACTAGGAATGTCCTCCTCTATTGTACCGTACTGTTTATCTGTGACACTAGGAATGTCCTACTCTATTGTACTGTACTGTTTATCTGTGACACTAGGAATGTCCTCCTCTATTTTACTGTACTGTTTATCTGTGACACTAGGAATGTCCTACTCTATTGTACTGTACTGTTTATCTGTGACACTAGGAATGTCCTCCTCTATTTTACTGTACTGTTTATCTGTGACACTAGGAATGTCCTACTCTATTGTACTGTACTGTTTATCTGTGACACTAGGAATGTCCTACTCTATTGTACTGTACTGTTTATCTGTGACACTAGGAATGTCCTCAGTCGAAAGGAGGCACCCAAAATACAAATTCTGACTCAAAGTCAATGGAAAATCAATTGTTTGAAATTCTACTGAACAATTATACATGCATGAGTTTATTGCAATTGTCAGATTTGGCAGTCTTACTAGACAATTACATTTAGACAGAGCATGGACGATGTCATTCATTAATGTGTTTTCTAATACAGACACATATTGCAGATTATTTCTGAAACTTTTAGAAAGAAAAATGTCTCATTCAAAGCTGACAAATAAAACTTTCAAAGTAAAATGTTGTTAAATATATACCCTGGTATGTACAGATGTACAGGACATACTAGTAACATAAAATACTGTCCCCATGGTATCCTCTATTGTTTCATTGATATCACATTGTGCTATACCCTTGACTTTGTGCATGAGGACAATGATGTTATGTCTGTCCACTGAGCAATGCTGTTTTCGCTGACTTCTCTGATACCAACACTCATGGTTGCCATTGTAATACTGATTATGTACACCTGTATCATGTAATTTCAGTACTAACGATTAGGTACACCTGTTCTGTGTACTAC